CATCAAATATCACATACCGCTGATATATTATTTTGTTATTACATAAATAATGTAAGAAACCAAGCCTACCTTTCATACCGAGGAGGTTATTAACTAACGAACTCTTCGACAAAATGTCCATAAGATAAACAACAACTCTACTTGCATGACTTGCAGTTAATGCAAAACAAGATCATTCGCATTAAAACTGTTTCAAGATGGTATCAAAAAAACAACTTGTAAAAATAGCAGACTCCAGATACAATTTTAAACGCCACGAAGCATGGACATGCGTCATCTATTATTAAACATCATTGGTGCTTGCAGTTATCTCACAATATTCGGGATGGAACCTATAAAGTCAAATATTTGTAGAAATAGTGATCATCGGCTATTATCAAAATTCGTTAGATGTAAAAGAAAATTGTGTTCCCATTTCCGATTAGCAGACTTCAGATAACTTCGAAAATATTTTGTCATGTTATTAAATAATAATTTTATTAATATGCAGGTTTTCTCACGACGTTTTCTATCACTGCTGAGCACGTTTGACAAGTTTCTCTATAAAAGGTTTTATACAAAAAATATAACAATTTTTTAACGATAATCACATTTTTTACAACATTAAAACATAAATACAAATTAATTGATCACAACATTACAGCCCGTTTGCTACCATATATAGATTCCCATATAATTATGGGAATCTATATATGGAAACAAACTATATTATATCAAATGAAATACTATATACCCTGTAATAATAATTAATATACCGTAGCCGTCGCGGCACGGCGAGAAATACATAAATTAAGGAAAACAACCATGTCTCAGAGCAATTGATGCCGAGCGTGAGATTTACCAGCAAACTAACACCCGGTTTCTGAATCAGAATGATCAATTCAAATAATCTAACCATAATTTAACCATCCTTTTGGCAACTCAAATGACATTTGAAAAGCCATTTGACAGCTGATTAGTATACTTCCCCGATGATCAGTGTTTCAGAAACCGGGCGTGAGGAGGTTGGAGCCTAGAGCGGCAGATTATAAGGGGCGGCAAATTTGGGCCATAGAGACGAGTCTTGAAAATTTAACGAAACTTAATACTTTAGTAGTGTACAGTACACTCACGTCCTTATACGAGTATTATGAATTATAACTAAATCCTTCATCCAGACACCATTCGTACGCGGGGCACATACGTACATTAGTTAAAAAATACAAATGACAAGCTAGTGAAAATGTTTCATTTGGATGTGTGCATAGGTGGCCTAGCTATCAAGACGTCAATGTAGTTTCACGCCATTCCCACCATAAAGAGTAAAGTGACAGACAGAAACGTACTCGTATTTTCGCGCTCGGTGAGTAATTTTTTGATTAATGTTTACGCATGCATCATTAAACTAGATATGATAAGTTTTTCTACCGATAAGTAGTAAATAAATATCTTTAAGATATTATTTAAAAACTGATTGTCTATTTTGCATATGGATATAAAAAGAGGTTATATTTACAAGAAATTTCATTAATTCCTGTTCATTTTGTGAATATTATTTTCTGCCTAAAAGATATAAAGAAATATTCAATTTGCAGTTTTAATCGCAATGTATGAAACTACCCCACACTTAGGGCAGATTCGTATTTCGTACGATTGACTTCAGATTAAGTTTTATTTATAGCTAGCTGCTGCCCGCGACTACGTCTGCGTAGAATAGGCTGAAGGTATAACATTAAGACAGAAAGACAGATATACATAAAATATGCATATAAGTTATAGCCTATGTCTTATTCTGATGTATAAGCTATATTATTGTAAACTTTCATTAAAACCCATTCAGTATTTGCGTGAACGAGTAACAAACATATACATAGAAACTTTCGCCTTTAAAATATTAGTAAGGATTGTGCAATAAACACACCAGTGACAAATTGTTCGGGTAAGAGCTTTTTTTGCTTAAAGCGGGTGATAAACTATTTACGATCGACTTTAAACCCAGAAAAGCTAATAAGACGTTTAATTTTTCTTGACTTAAAGTTGATCGTTGCTCTTTTGTGCATAGAGTCAGATTAATTAATGAACCATGTTTCTTAAATAGGCGAAATCCATTGCGTACTAAAAAGTGACAGCCTCTACATGTCCCACTACTGGGCAAAGGCCTCCTCTATACAGAGGGTATCAGGGCATCGTCCACCACGTGGCCCCGCTACGGATTGGCGGACTTCACATATCTTCAAAAAATACCGTAAGAATAATTTTCCTTCACCGCGGAACACGTGATAAGTCAACACTTAAAGTTAAAAACTTCATTGATGCCTGCACCGGAGATCGAACTCAGGTTGCTCGAGTATATTGAATTAAAGGCGAGCACCCGGACACTGAGCTATCACGGCTCTCTTGCGTCCTATAGTACCACGAAATTGATATGACGATATAATTGATGTTTTAAGCTATTGCATCGCTTTTATTGCGGACTGAGCGCGGCGACCAAGACATTCCGTAACGAAAATAAAACCTAACATCCCCCACTCCGCCTACCATGTAGCTCGGCCGAGCATTCACTATATTATATAATCGTGTATGTATATGGTACGACTGTACGAAGCTCGCACGGATGGATATTATAATGTGATAATAATATCATATGATGATATGATATTTAGAGGATATCAAGTCTCAAACTTATGTTTCTTATTTTAGTTACCATAAACCTATAGTTTCAATGATAAAAATTCCTGAATAACCTACATGTATTGTAAGATAATAAAAATATTTTAAACGATATTAACTTCTCATTTATTCAATAAAAGAAAAAAAAATGTTTTCTTATCGGTCACCACGCTTAAAAAGTGTAACTTGAGTTAATATCAAAGAAAAAACTTGAATTAATGTCAAAAAAAAAATACTGCATAAATAAAAAATAAATAAACATTTACTTAGAATTGCATAATAAGTTAAAAATGCTATGCAATAGGTTTACCGCGACAGTCCCCGAGTGGCACAGTTATATTTTTTTTTCGAATTTGAAATCCCCCAAAAAGGGGATTGGGTAAGACTTTCGTAACTTTATTTATTTTATTGTGATTATTAGTCGGATTGTTAAATTTAATAGAAATAGTGGTACAGCTAGTCTTATGGACTGCGTCCGATGAAGCTTTAATAGTCTCGGGACTGAAAGCAAAAACATCAGTTAATGCACCTAGTCTTATGTATGAAAGATTCGATAAACAAATATTTATTCCTTAATTATTAAATTAATCTCCTGTTTAGTTTTCAGTGTTCTTACTTAATGTAAGAAAAGATTGCTCAGTAAAATAAGCCTTGGCCTGACGTCTACCAAAACAGCACAGCACTATTAAATTATATTTTTCTTTTTCGTTTTGTGTAGTTTTTTTTTCCAATAATGTGAATAAAATTTAACTCCTATAAATATTCCCAAAAAATTTACGTCTTAAAATTTTCCAGTGTATATTTTTCTTCCTTAATTTAGGAAGAAAATTCATAAGTTGGCATCCCTTACTATTACGTGCTTTAACTATATACTATAAATGACTCCAGCTCAAGACTAAACGATATTTAAAGACATCGTTAATACCATGATTAGTATTTAAATTAAACAGAGTTTTTTTTTTCCATGCTGTTAAAATTCTAAATTACTTAACACATATTCATAAAATCTGATCGAAAATCTGATATTGTGCATTGTTTGCCGTACCCCTCTAACTAGTGTAATATTTGTATCTCACGCGCTTTGTCGCTCGCTACGGCGTAAGGCTAAATAAAAGAATTAAAAGATATCGTAATCAATACCATGCTTAGTATTTAAATGAAACGGATCTTATATGCATGTTGTTAAGATTCAAAATTACTTAAGTTATTGATAAAATCTGTTTAAAAATCTGATGTTGTTGCCGTATTGCTAACTAATGTAAAATTTGTATCTCACGCGCTTTGTCGCTCGAAATCTGTTTAAAAATTTGATATTGTGAATTGCTTGCCGTACCGCTCTAATTAGTGAATATTTGTATCTCACGCGCTTTGTCTAAAAATCTGATATTGTGGCAAACGGGTATGATATTGCGATTCGTGTTGGTATAGTGAGTGAGCGAGTATTCGGTACATCAGACTTCGGAAATATCAGATATTATAAAATACATAGATTTTGAACGAGCCAGTAAGTGATTTTCGGATATTGTATCAATATATAGTTTTCATATCTGTATACGATTTGTATCGCCCACTTCTAGGCCTTAGCATTCTGTAGCTTTATATGATCATCTGACATTTGACATTGTCATTGTCCAAATTGTCAATTTACTGAATACTGGATTTTGCGAACGAAATTTGAGCAGTTCCAGTATTTTCCTTATTGGATTCAAATATCATACTGATCTTTTCGCTATACGAAATCTATGTAATTTACAATTAAAAGTTTGTGAGTTTGTGTTTGCGATCATCGTCACTCCATACCTGTTTTTTATTGAGAAAAACCTAAAATCGATTTTCATTGTGATGTGATATTTTTGTTATATATTATTTAGAAAATAAAAATGAATCTAACATTCGGCACTTGCCTTACAATATGCCTAATAACAGGATGTTTTGCTTCGGGAGAAGATATAGCCCTTGATGCGAAAGCTACCCTTTTACATCGTATAGACAGTTTAAACCTCTTAATTTACACTTGTCTTCTTACCCTTACTGTACTTACAATTTGGGTTTTTAAACATCGTCGTGTGAGCTGGCTCCACGAAACAGGTCTTGCTGTTATATATGGTAAGATATTAACACAACATTGCTCCAATAACAAGAATGATATTATAAATTATGTTTTTTTTTAATAAAAATTAACATGTACAACTCAACAACTAATTTGTATTTTAGGTCTAATAGTTGGTGCAATTATTCGGTATGGTGCCAGTACAAATCAAGTTACATATATTGATGCATTCCCAGCAGCAGATACTACTTACAATTTGTCTGTACCGCCAGATGTCCTCAGATTTCATTTTCCTAATAGAATGCAAAACTCAGCTGATGGTTTGTTACTGTATCAGTTTTACCTTAAAATGTTAAACTTTAATATGTATTTTTTCCTTATCTAAAAAAAACATTTGTAGTAATCACTAAAGGATGTAAAGAAACTTAGACATACTTTGTGACATTGTATATCTAATTAATATTTAGATATTACAACCAAACAATATGTAGGCATTATATTCACATCTTTGTGAGATGAACTGTGCTTCTTGTCATCTGACAGTGCTAACTGGATTTAAGTCATGTGCTAACCTTCAGAGAATGCAAGAATAGAATAACATAATAATTATTGTCTGCACATGAGTTCAACATTTGCTTTATAATTTTTTTTAATCAGTGGTAGGAGAATGCCCATCCAATTTGCCTTGGGGTGTTATATTAAGTAAGTAATATATTCATATTTCTTATGTTGCTTTATTACAGGAATACCAGTACCTAATAAAACCTATGCCTACAGCTTCAGAGGTGAAATAGTAAACATAGAGCAAAATGAAATTGATTTGAAAGCTACCTTTGACCCTGAAATATTCTTCAACATAATTTTACCACCTATTATATTTCATGCTGGATATTGTTTAAAAAGGGTAAGACGAAACAGGAAATTCATTACAGATTTTAATGTTATTGTTAAAAAAATGGAGTCTTGTGATTGAACTGTGTGCATTTATACAGTTTCATTTTATTTACAGAAATATTTCTTTCGAAACTTGGGTGCGATTTTGACATTTGCCATGGTGGGCACAGCATTATCAGCTCTAGTCATAGGGTCACTGATGTATGGCTGTGTTCAACTCATGCCAGCATCATTGGCAGCAAGCTTTACATACCTGGACACATTGTACTTTGGTGCTTTGATTTCTCCTACTGATCCACTTACAGTTCTTGCTATATTTTCACAGCTAAAGGTAAATTCATTTAACACTAATTCATTAACATTAACATTTTTTTGATGATTTTAAAGAACTACCATAGTATGCATTATCACGAATACATAAATGTTATCGCAAGTATATTTGTTACAGGTGGATGTTAATTTATATGCTATGATTTTCGGAGAGAGTGTTCTTAATGATGCCGTGGCTTTGGTTCTGAGTGGGTAAGTTTCATTCCTTGTTATGTGATTGTTCAATGACAAAAATATTTATGACCTAAATATACCATACGACTAAAACGAAAACCATATGCACTAAAAAACTTGTGCCTTATCCTTAAACAGTCCACTGCACACCCTCTTCAACACCTGCTTAGAGCAATATACACTGCGTCCTAAAACATCTTCTTCAACTTTTAGTCTTAAGACAGATAATTTGTAAACCTACAATTGCAATTTAAATGTAGTATGAATTTTCTATTTTTTTTATGTGAAAAGTTGCCAAATGTGCAAACGGTTCTCCTGAAGTTAAGTGAATACCCTCGGCCATGGAGATCTGCTGCACTCGAGGGTTTGCAGATGCGTTGACTACCTTTTTGGAAATTGGGCTCCGGCCACCTCACTCACCAGACGAAACGCGAAAGTATTATAATTCCACTTTACGCAGGTTTTCTATGAGGTTGTGGTCCTTACCCGGACAAGCCTGCCCATTCATGCAACAACCGAGGCTACTGTGTGGCCCTACCACCGTATAAATATATATTTTACGTATATATTCACCACATATATATTTTCTATATAGTATTATATGTCTTTAGGTAGGCTGCAATAATATACCTCATCTTTTCAACAATGTTACAAGCTTTTGGGGTCCCATGTACATACTTGTTTCAATTTTTTAAAGCTTGATGACTTTTTTACTGACTGAATTTTTTACAGAGCTCCAAGTAGTTCACTTCCATGAAATACAACTGATATTAAAATATTCATATAAATCAGCTCCAAAGCTTAATCAACATCTTTGTATCACCTGTTATTGCCAATTTAGCTACACTATGGCTATTCACTAAGTTTTTCTCGACATATGAATTTCTTTCATTCTTTTCGACATGCGAATTTGTATGTTCATGTGATTTTGTATGTTCATTATGTATGTTTTGTAGAGCCATACAAAATTATGAGAAAAGATATTCAAATGATGGTGGATTTGAAATCACTGCATTCCTGGGAGCTATTGGAGACTTTATAGGAATTTTCAGTCTTTCTCTTCTTGTTGGTGCATTTATGGGTTGCCTGACAGCATTGATATCCTTTTCAATATTAAATGCTAAATATAATTAAAGTAGGTATTATAGAAATGAATATAATAAATATGGAAATTTCATTTTTAATGACAATGATGATGAAAACGCTTTTTAAGTATTAACTGAATTTTATACGGGCAAATATCTAAATCCTATTTATGGTACAGTCTTCAAATGTGATAGAAAATGGTGTGCATGTTGACAGCTATCGATATGAGAAAATGTTTTTAGGAATCCTAAATAGAAATCGTGCACGCTACTAGGATTCGACATCGGGATCACGAGTGACAAAGTGCCTCAGAGCAAGTGATGTCTTTCCAGCCAGTGTGGTTTTAACCGTAATACGACACGGATTATCAGAGACTAACGGCGATTGAGGTCACGGTCCGTACCGAACCTGAATGTCCCTAGGTGACATTCAGGTCCCATTTAGGACAACGCTCGCTTGGCCTCATGCGCGTTCCTTTCCAACGCTTACGCCCGGTTTCTGAAACACTGATCATCGTAGAAGTCAACTATTCAACTGTCAAAGAAGAAGTCAACTAATCAATTTGACAGTTGATTAGTTGGCTTCTACGATGATCAGTGTTTCAGAAACCGGGCGTTAGGGCCGTATTAAACTCATGAGTTCTGGCTAGCCCATGTTCTGCGTTCAATGTATCTTTAACAGCTTAAGTGGTTAGACCATGGCATAAATCAAAGATAAATGGCTCTTGGTACAGTTTAATAGAAAAGTTAATGGTCCCTTTGTGACTTGGATTGCCTTAACTAAAGCACACATGACCAAGTTCACGCACGTGCGAGATTGGCCCCTGCTCGAGTCTGCGCTCTTCGTGCTCATGTCGTATGCCGCCTTCCTCATTGCGGAAGTGTGCGAACTCACAGGTATGTTCACATATCACGTTGACGGCAAATTTGCAAAAACGCCATTAGTTTTTTCTCTGTCCGTTTCTATAAAAAAATGCTTTAATAAATACAATGTTGTTTTAAAGGCAAAAATTGCAAATTTGAAAGTAAAGTGAATATTCTCTCGTATAAATTGCATAATGTTATATTTATTTCTAAAATTCTTTATTAAAGGATTCACGATACAATATCTTCGATTCTCGAAGTTTTAATAAGATATCGTTGAAATCTAATCATTAGATTCTAATGTATCTATCACGTAATCACATCTATGCATATGCAAATATATATGGCGGTGTTTTTATTTTCCTCAATAAAACGAGAAAAACGAGCGCCATACTCAATGTTTTATATAACTTGCAATATTTTACCATTTAATATTTGTATTGGTTATTAAAACACTAAAATGTAATTCGTTAATTTGAGCGAATATGCCAAAAGTCCTATGCAAATCAGGTTTGGTATTGATGGGCCCATTCAAATTGACTGAACCATGGTAAAGTGCGTTGCTTTACCATGGCTCAGTCAATTTGAACGCAACCTGTATTAGGGATGGAAGATTTGAGAAGTTGAATCTTCAGTCAATGTCTTTTTACCGCTAGGCGTTGTGGCAGTACTGTTCTGCGGAATATGCCAGGCGCATTACACTTACAACAACCTATCAGCCGACTCCCGCAACCGCACCAAGCAGCTCTTCGAACTGCTGAACTTCCTCGCCGAGAACTTCATCTTCACCTACATCGGAGTCTCAATGTTCACCTTCCCGAAGCATCACTTCGATCCGTGGTTCATCATCGCTGGATTTGTATCCTTTTTGCCGATTTTGAGTTGTGATTTGCTTTTTTTCAGAATTCTTACCACCTTCGAAATAAAACGTTTGTCAAAATGAATATTTTGGCATATCGGTGTGATTGTTGTAGCTCATAATTAAGACATAATACTTTTAGTTGTCTGGTATAATTACTGTTTATCTTTATTCCACTGGTTAGAATGCAAAATGTTTATCAGCAAAAAAAGAAAATCGTCTTAATCTCACTTGTCTTTTAGATAATCCTCCTCCAGTGTACACCTTGTGTATCATCTTATCAATCCATAATTCTAATACTTTGGTCGGTTCGTTATCTTAATTGAATTTGTGTGTTTACTATCTAAAACTACAAATAAAACAACAAGACGAGAATGTTGTTGATTAAAATTGATGAAATATTAATTGATAAATTATATAAATTGATGAAATTGAATATTTTTGACGAAAACACAATTTACTAAACGTTATTTTAAGAACAACATTAAAATAACATTTAGTGAATTGTGCATTTTATGAAGAGGAAAAAAGTTACTTCCTTAATTACTTAATTAAACAGATAACGTCAACACTCGGTCGAGCAATTAATATCTACCCGTTGTCGTTCCTGCTGAACCTGGGAAGGAAACCACCGATACCGATGAACTTCCAACATATGCTGTTCTTCTCTGGTAATTTCTGCCACTTATAACAACGCGCATAATCATAGATTTACTAAAACAACAAAAATCGCATTTTAGAAACCGCAAGTGTGTTTTGTTTATGGTGAAACGACAGAAGACCATGCGAAGTAGAATTATTGATATTTCTACTCTATCAAGTATCAATAAAGCTAAGCATATTGCTTAAGACCAGAAGCCAAAACACCATCCAACAAAGACTGTTGAACGATATTCAAACGTTAATGATCAAAGTTTTCGTATTGTGAATTACTTATAAGCAGGAAATAACATACGATAAGCCGCTTGATACATAGTCACAAATCACTCCTCGAAATCAAATAGAAAATGTAAAGTGATTGAGTTTTTTTTTTTTATGTGACTGTGTGATTGAGATATGAAGTCGGCTTTGTTTCTGTTACAAATCGGTTAATAAATGACGTAGTTCTTAGTTCACAAATAAAAAAAATCGTTCGAAAAGTTGTAGAAAGTGTTGTATTAGTTTTCTTCGCAATATTCCCGACTCATTAGCCACTGTCCGTGGCAGGCCTCCGCGGGGCGATGTCTTTCGCCCTGGCGATACGCAATACGGTATCTGAGGCGCGGCAGGCGATGCTGACCACCACTTCGCTAATCGTCATCGCAACGGTCGTTCTGCAAGGGGGCGCTGCCACTCATGCTCTCGCCTACCTCCGGATACCCACCGGGTAAGCGATTCGCAGGGCAACTCGTCAACTGCATATTGGACATCGTGAAACACCAGACATAGCCCACCGCCTCATAGGAATTCTGCCTACTGAAGATCGTGAACTGCATATCCCACGCATGACGTACTGCCTCATAGAATTTCATATTGTATATTATAAACTATCAGTCGGCACATGACCAGTAAAGAAGCCTCAGGTGTAGCGAGTGTGTACCCAATTGTGAAAGATCCTCTTTTTAACATTTTTTGCGGTGTTTCCACCGCTGCCGAACGCGTGGTAATTCTCAACTTACTTTTAAAGTATGTTGACAGTTTTGTTTCTTTATTAATTGTTTAGTAATTTTGTTTCCAACTGGTCGAAATTCGACCGTAATAATTATTGAAAATTTGCAATTCTTTTTATTGACGACGCTAGCGGTCATCAACAGCTACTAAAAATAATACAGTGTCAGTTTACAAAAGGGGGAGGTAACGACCAATAAACAGCAATTTAACGTAGATTTGTACTCGAACACGATAAATAGATGTCCCTTAAAATTACTGGTTGCTAGATTTCAATTGCGCACAAACACCAAAAATGGTTTATTGAAATTTATCTGTAGTTTTTTATTTGAAGAATTTGCAAGCGAGTAGGCGATTTGCCTGATGTTTAGTGATAACAGTCGCCTATGGACATCTAAAACACCAGCGTTTTCAACTTTCAAAAACAGTTAACCAGAAGTAATGCAAAAGTATATTACTTCTACTCAGGGCCGGATTTAGGGGAGGGCAACCGGGGCAACAGCCCCGGAGCCCCCACAATAGAAACGTCGGAAAAAAATTGAAATTCAGACTAGAAAACAACTTTTCCTCCATTAAATATATACAGAAATCAATGGAAAATAATTTGGGGCCAAGAGGCCTCCGTACCTCTAAATCTGGGCCTGCTTCTACTTCACGCTGGTCCTCTCTAAGGACGTGATACTTCTCCTAGCCAGTGCATGGTTTAACCGCATATGAGATATAACCTAAACGTCTTTAAATAATTTAATTCAAATCTCTCTTTCAGACAAGGACAAAATGATGAAAACGAAGCTCTGCCTTATCGCGATGTAAGAAGTGTAAGTATTTGACCACGTTTTATTTTTTAAGTAGTATTTATCTTAAGCAATTATTTATATTGTTTGCTATAAGAGATTGCTTCGAGAGAATTTATTTGAACTTGACATACTTGGCTAGAACTCTGACTCACACAGAAGAAAATAATTTATAAAATTGCTATATCATCACTGCGAAAACTGTAAACAATGACTACAGTTAAGATTAACAATATAGCTGATACTTGCACTACATTTGGTAAATCAATGATTTCTGAATATTTCCAATTGTCCTAAAAAGTCTGTACAGAGTGTTTTGACTAAGATTATCATATTTCAGTGGGACACTAGTAGTGATGTAAGTTCTTCTTCTGTATTAATTAAATGCACGTAAATTAGCACAACACAGTCATATTCCAAACTTGATAGTTTAATAATAGCTATTTTTACACTTCACATTACAATACTGCTGTGAGGCGCAATATTGTCGTGGTTCTATTACAAATAACTGCGTCAGTAACGTATACACGTGGAGCTACGTATTGTTTCATTAATTTTAGTTATTTACAATGAGAATATTTAGATGACTCAGTGGCGCAGTTACTAAGATATTGTTATCGGTGCCCGGGTCGTGAGTTCGTTTCCCGCACGGGAAAGTATTTGTGTGAGCCATAGACAATAATTATTCCGTATTTTAATGTTTGTTTCCAAGGAAGGTTGACGTCAGTCAAGCGACCAGTCAAAAAAACTGATAATACTACTAACTATACGAAGGGTAGATAAAAAAGAATTCTTAAGTATAAAAACATAATCATGAAGTTGAAATATAAATACTTTGTGTTAACTTATTTATAACTAATGTTTTATTGCTTTCAAAATCTAATTTTACGCTTTTTAACAATATATTGTTTTCTAAAAACATAGGGATACATAAAAATCTACACGATGTATGTAATGCAAAAAAATCTGCATTTTCGTGGACGTTGGTCTGAATGGTTGTAAGTGTAAAAGTGTTCTACACAAATGTATAATACTATAATGGATGGATAGAAAGATATATAAAATTATTGCTAAGTATGACACATGGTATATGGTATACTATATACATAATTGTATACTTATTATGCATACTAAACACATTATTGTATTATCGCATTGTCATGACAACAAGCTGAAAGGCACACTAAATGATTTCTTTTTGTACATAATAACCCCAAAACCGATTACACCACAAAACAAATCATGACCAAACATTCTACTATGTAGTGCTAACATTTTATCTTCGGCTTCGTTTTTCTTGTTGTTTGCTTGTACCTATATTAAATACCGTTCACGCTTTGTGATCATTAAAATCAGTATCTTGCACTGTACAGTATGGGAGCATTGCAGAGGTTTTGATTTCATTATTCATTCATACTTCATCAATCACCAAAACATATACTTTTCTACCTTCATGTAGTCATAAGCGTATTTAGAAACATAAATTTAAACAGTGCTGAATAGGAGTAACATAGTGTAAACTTCCGCTTCTATCGACTCTTGTTTCAAATAACCTTGAATTATGCTTTTATGATTACTGATGACATAACAAATATCAAATTACTATGTGGGTTTTGGATTATATTTATTTATAGCAAACAGAAATAGAATAGCTTGCCTTATCGTGGATGAATTTGCCATTCCGTCTTTTCCTGACTTAGAACCTCTGTGACTAGTGAAACTGAAGCATCTAAGCAAATGCTGTATTTGTCTGACAGCAAAATACAGTTTGGTAGATCGTAGTACAGAGAGAACCGAACTCGCTTGCAACGCGTGACTAATAACTGTAAGCCACAACAAAACTAAAAGGCCTATGTGTTGCCAGACCAAGTGGCTAACTGTGTACGGTCTGTAATATCATGTAATTAATAAGACATTGTTGTGGCAGCTGTACCAGGCCACGGACTCTGGCAGACCGGTACGTACTTCTCGACTGAGCACTTAACACAGGGCTTTTCTCATTTTTATGTTAAGGTGCTTTACAGTTACTTCGTAGTCTGCCGGAATTGCTGAAACACGTTTCTTTTTATTTCCATTAAATGTTTGTGTTTCTTTCAGGCAGGTTTTTGGAGTAACTTTTGTCTTCAATTGCCTAAAAGACATTTACAATTATCTTCATGATGCGTACATCGCACAAAATAAAATTGCTGAAACTACTAGTTTAATAAACAGATATGAGATATAAGAGATTTCATTGTAAATGCCTTTTACAAATAATTTGAACGGGATATTAATAATAACACCTCAAAATATACTACTCAAATTATTATGATGCGCTATCTTAATTTGCTTTTTGAAAGCAAAATGAGGTGGTACAACAATATCATCATACCATTTTTAACAGACGTGCTTATATGTAATGTATCTGTTGTTTAGCCGGCAGACTTAGGTTTTGGCCTCCGAAATTTGGACACAACCCAACCGGCACGTTGCGACGGGGCAACAGTAAGACTAATACAACTTTGCATGCATGGTAATGGCATTGTTTCGCGCGTATTAACAAACTTATCAATAATTAACAATGGATGATAGATAAAATCAATTTTTACTTAACTTTGCGTCCAAATCTCAGGACTGTACGATTTTTTTTATATATATTTACTGGTTACTTATAACCTGGCTTCACCATTAATTATTGCATGTGTTTTCGTTTATTTTCTTTTGATTTTAAATATCTAGAATGGCAGCATGGTAGTTAAGTGGGGCAAAGGAGACAATGGAGTGATAATGCCTTGGCAACTTAATAGACTCACAGTATGTAAATTGTTCCTTCCTTTACTATCATAATCACGTAAGCATTAAACCTTAACGATACACGATGACAATCAATTTACAATCAATATTTTTCAGCGGTGTTTATATTTATTCTGAAATTAGTAAAAAAAAGTATTGTTATTATCTTAATTTACATTTTATTTTTATTATATGTACATATATATACAGCATGGCGTTACAACTGCGACAATAAATGAACACACGTCTAACGCTACTTGCCAATAATCATAAAACGTAAAAAAAAACATAATTAAAAAAATATATTTTTCAAACAAACTAATTAAATAAAAAAGAAACAAAATGTGTAACATCCTATACAACTACAACTGACTGATTCATACATTCAGAGACTTGTCGCATTACAAGTCTCTCGTTCTAACAGTATGTTTTATCTCTTAATTAATTCAACCCATTGCAAAAGATCGTGACCTTTACAAATTAACTTAACGTTACTGTTTTATACGTAAGGATGTTCGAAAAATGTATTTTTGTAAAATTTAATAACGGTGTAAATATTGATCTTTAAAGAATGTAAATGTTTAATACAATTTTAAAAAGTTATCCTCTCTATGTGTGTTCATTTATTGGCGCGGCTATAACGACACGCTGTATAACAACAAGATGAAGTCAAAGGTAATTTTGATTGTAAATCGATATTTCTAACGTAATATGCACGATTCGAGGTCATAAAATTTTATTCACCACAGAAGCAAACGTTTTTCGTAATATACGTTCTAAGTGTTTCCTTAATGTTTATCTTTAACGTAGCATAATTTATAACAGTCATTTGATGAGCATGGCAATCTGACTGTTCATTAATTTCTTCGCGGATTTTCCCGATGGCAAAATTTACAATAATGAATATGAATTCGAAGTGCCTTTGAAAACAATTACTAACGAAATGCTAAATGTTATAAAAAGTATAGAATGTAATTTCTCAACTTTATATGACGTCACGTTAATGAACTTCTCATTAACATAAAATACATATAGAAGTCAGATCTTTGTACTTTACTAACGTACCTAATCATCTCCATTCATCGTAGCCATTTGAAAAAGGTGCAACATTTAAAGATAGAGACATTTCTCGCAGGAAACACCGCGCGGTAGTGGTGACGGCGGGGGCGAGAAGGGGCGCCTTGCCCGACTTTGGGGCGCATTGGACTCGAGACTGTTGAAGCCCCTGCTGACACACGCGCGCCCCCCCCTCACGGAGACGCTGCCGTCTTTCCTGAGACCGCTAGCCCGCGTATTGACTACCACGCGACAGTATACACAGGGGGTAAGTTCAATGGGCCTTGTATTTTTTTTTATGCGAAATGCTGCCCAGCGAGCAGGCGGTTCACCCGACGTTAAGTGAATACTACCGCCCATGGACATATGCTACACCCGAGGGTTCCAGATGCGTTGATAACCTTTTGGAAATTGGGCTCCGGCTACCCTCACCAGACGAAACGCGAAAGTATTATTACTTCCACTTCACGCCGGTCTTCTGTGAGTTCGTGGTACTTACCCGGACGAGCCTGTCCATTCGTGCAACAACCGAGGCTGCTGCGTGGCCCTACCACAGTAAAGTGTTTTGTGTTTGGTGTGGAAGGGGTTTGTTAGCTAGTCTTTACGACCACTGCGAACCCACTAGGTCAGTCTTAGTCTTTCACGTTATACGTTTTAGATACATAAATTTCACGTGGACGAACACCCAGTTTCGAATCCGAATCTGTGTGGCCCACAAATAGTTGGAATCGAACAAACGACCCCCGGCACCGAAGCCATATTATACCTTGGGATCTGCGCCAGGGAGTCATAATTACAATCTTGAACCTTACAATATTACTTTGTTATAAAAGTGAGAATGTGTAGACGCAATCTAAAAATACCACAGCATAGTGACCGGAAATCATCTTGAAGAATTCATTCGATTGCCCTGTATTCGATTTTTAGATTCTTATATTACGCGCAAACCAATGCAATTGGTTGTACGATTTGATGACTCCGTGGCGCAGTTGCCAAAGTATTGGCGTCGGCGTCGGGGTCGTGGGTTCGATTACCACACGGGACAACTATTTGTGTGACCCGCCGATAGTTGTTTCGCATCTGGGTGTTTGTCCGCGTGAAATTTATGTGTGTAAAACTTCCTTATAACACAGGATTATGTTATTCTATATATATATATTATAAAATTGACCGTTTTCGAGAAAAACGGAAAAAACTTAATTTTGCAGTTTGACCTTGGAAATTTTTTTTTGCAGAAGTAGGATCGACGGGGACTTTTGACAATTTCTTTATAATGATAATATATTTAACGACTCTGCCTAGAGCTGAAACTCTATACAAATTTTGGCTAAGTTATTAAATTTTTTTTGTCTATTTTGCCTGGACTATAAGTTGCTTGTGGTGCATGTTGTCTAAGAGGTCGAAATGTACCCTTATATTCTATTTGCCTTTCTTAATATATAATATATAAATCTCTTTATCTTAAATTGAAGTGGAAGAGGATTGCTCTTTTGCACTTTCTGACTTTCTTATTGCCTAAAAGAATATTTAAAACACTAATACTTTTGCATTATAACTACAATTATTGTAACAGTGGTACGCACATCACAAAACTAAACCGTCTTCTTGCGTGCACACACACTTAGGGAGTGCTTAAAAGCTCCGACGATGGCGACTTCTTTAATAAATTGTGTTATCTATAGTAATTAGTCAAAGAAGTAAGAATATCATACTCGGCTGTTAGACAGCATATTGACCCAGTATTCCATGATTTGATTCACTAATAGAATTAGATTCACATTTTAAATTATTTTGCCGTCTGCCATTTAGATTATCAGATAACTCATAACTAAGCAAAACTGTTTTATTGAATTACTAATATGCAGATTTATAGTTATTAATGATAATGTTATTTTCAAGATTACCCTAATTTATATCTATTCTTGTCGTATTTATTTTCAGGAAAATAATCTGCACAGAACTGACTCGGATTCCGATCTATGTATTGATGAACCGCAACCAGTGCCTACTAATATAGATCCTCAGGTATATTACACCCCATTATCGACATAACAACTAAAAAGTTGAAACACCTTCGTCATCTTAATGAGTTACGGTCTTGTTATTTCTGATCCGTTGTCCTTGCCACTTACAACTTTTTTCCTTGATTTGTTATAATTTTATTGGCCTCTTTATATTTATTTACTATTGCTTATGCGAAATATTCGTTCGTGCCTAATATGCTTTTTGCTAGCTCCTGAGATGTATTGGTTTTTCTTCCTTACTTATTATCAATTATAGAATTAATTTCATCGACATCTTTTTAATCGGTCATCAGCTAACGGGCCTTTAAAATTAACCACATTGTTAAAATATTAGACGCTCCATGGCAAAAATATAACGAACATAGTTCTTAATGGAAATGTGTAATATTTTCAATTCAATTAAATATATAAAACGGCCCAAACAAATAAGTATATGTTTTTTTTTTTTATAATGTAATAGCAATGTTATGGAGAGACGAAGGGCGAGCAACGGTGATTTATATCGTTATATATTATGATATCAAATACGATATACCGCTACTCATTTTTGAAAATTCGATATTAATTGAATAAAAAGTAGTTTTTTTTTCGTAGTATTTACTCACTTCCGTTTCCGCATGTGCTTCCGAATTTGTTTCCGCTTAGATTTCTATATTCTGTTAATTATTTCGCTTCCATAACTAATTCTGTTACATTATACCATTATACCTAAGCATTCTTTTATGTCAAATTAAAAATTTTGTTCACTTTAAGATTATTCAAATACTTCATATTTTTAATTATCTAATTGAAATCTAGAATTGAAATCTATCTAAACTCCTATATTCCAGAAGCCTACTTATTTAGACATAGTACAGTTGATATGCCATAATAATTACTTAGTATGATACATCCTCTGGACAGTAAACAAATGATCTGTTACAAAATTAACGGACCTGTATATCATAGCAGTATTAAAATTGAATTGAAATTATAGAACATTAAGTAATTTTTCATTAGCTTATTGTAGATGACTCCATCCTCTCAGCTTTCAAAGTATCAATCTGCTGAGACTGCATTATAACGAAACTGACGCTTAGTATGTAGGTAATATTGTAGACTAACACTTGTTTTTTTTTTTCTATTACAAATATTTTTAAACGTAGGGGAAATGTAACTATTGAAATAATTAAAAAGCGAAAATCTGCGGTAATACAAATTTTTAGGTAAGAATCCGCCCTTTTAACTTCCGCACATAAATACGTGCTAACGTAGTTATTAAATTAATTGTTTTTTTTTTCCTTTGGCACTAATGTAAATAATGTATGTCAAGTAATAACGTGTATTTGCATGAAATTAAAGTAGTAGGGGATTTTCTTAGGGTAAAATATATTTTTTTTCTTAAAACCTGAATGTTTCCGAAAAATTTTGCTTATTAATAATTGCAAGTTAGTTTTTTTCTCGATCTGTTTCTGAAAATTTAGTTGTTCATTCAAAAATGCATTTCTTTTGTTTTGGTTGCAGCTATCTTATAATATTCGGAATGGATTTGGAAATGTCTGAGCTTTGTAGCAATAGACCCTCGGCTGTGATAAATGGGTTAGATGTGAATAAATGTATTAGTGTATTAATAGGAAAATTGTTTTAAATGATTGCACGCAGCAATTATGGCCCGGCCTCGTGGACACGCGGATCTCGGTAGAAGGTATTACTGGAAGTAACATATAAATGTTATATAAGATCATAATCAATAAGCTCTGTGTGCCACATACTTGTAGCACTGTTCACGCTAAAAAGCCACGGATTAAGGCGACGTAATTCCTTTTGATGACACAAATTAATAATTATTGTGTGTTTCCTTTATTAAATTAAAGACAAAACGAAAAATTCATCCCCCTAAGCAGTATTTTTGTACAGATGTAAGAGAAACTATTATTTTCGTAAAAAAAAAAACACATTATATTGCTTAATTTAATGTTACTAACGTCCACTATTCGTGGCCGCTTCTTGATTCCTTACCGTCAGATTTAGAAATAACTATTGTACGAGGTGTTTAGTTAATTTTGCTCCTTGTGAGCACTTGTTGCTTTTGGGGACTCTATGAATGAACTTTCATAGCTATTGTTCGCTTGCTGAATGTGATATGTATTACGTGTATTAAATACATTTTAGTGTGAAAGTCCTTCAAGTGACAAACAAATTCTTGTGAATTGTATAGTGTTGATTTTTATTAATCGCCGTCTAGCACTTATTTGATTTTTTTTTAAATGCACCTATTATTATAAAGATATCTTAGCTTCATAGTGTTACTTGTTTTCTTTTTAAAATTATTTTTCTAGTCCTTGTCATCTCATAATTTAAAATATTCTGGTTTCAATAAGCCTCAAAGATGGCTAAAATAGAAAACTAAACCGATTAGTTAACAGAAAATGGTTGTAATATATTTATTTTAATTATTATTTGAAACCATATGCAAATTAATCATTGTCATGTAAATATATATTATACCCGCGTTGTAGTTAATAAATCTTTTCTCATTGTCTTTGCTCATAAATTCCAAAGTTCACGTACAATTTGTACCTTAGTGTTATTTCTTAAATTATGAAATTAAAAAAAAAACATGAGACAAGAAGTTGTTTCTTATTACTACAATGTTGTTTCTATTCTCTAAGACCTTATATGAGTTTGTAAAATGACAACTTTTGAAATATAGTCTGGTATATTATCACCGAATTCTACTTAAGAGTAAAAAATCTTATATCTTATGTGTAATAAAATTTGACTTAATTTGGTTTTTTATTTCAATTCCCAAATATACACGCATACACTGCAATTGACACCGTTTAATAAGTTTTTTCAATTCTTGCTGCTCTAATAAATTAACAGCTATTTGTTGAAAACTGCAACCGCAGATTTAAACCTCAAACTTTGAGTATTTTTTATGTGGGCTCCACCCTTATGCTGTCGACGTTCCACGCACAAGAACCAAACGATTTATCATTCGTACAGCTAAGGTATGGAACAACCTGCCGGCGTCCGTCTTTCCGTACGATTACAACGTAGGCGTTTATTCCTTACGAGCCGTTGAATTACCTACGGAAAGTAAGTTACTAGCGTTCCTTGAATCTACAAGTCGCTATGAAAGTTACGAAGCTATGTAAGTAACGGCCGTTCGTTGAATACAGGAACCGGGCATAAGACCACAACGAAAGTTTTAATAAATCATAAAACAAAATTTTTCTCGCGTATAACATTTTCAGGTGTAACCAACCTTCGAATTGACACAATTTATGTAACAAGACTTCAGTGACACCCTGGAACTATCCACGCTTAGGGTTGCCTCTTAAATTTACTCAACCAAAGGAAAAAAACACTGATATTTTAAATGAAGAAATGATTGTGAAGGAAGTGCATCTCCTGTCTTTAAATTTAAATGAAAGTGAGACTGAATTTGTATTTCTGGAGGTTAATGATTTATTACATTGTGATTAATTTGTGCCATTCATTTTATACATTTTCGATTATTTTTGAGCAAATATTTCATTACTTTTTTCAACTGTTGAAAGCTCGAGTTTAATTAGATCTTTGGTTTTATAATGTTTAAAAGTGTTTTTATTTTCTTTTTTAACTTTAGGAGCAAGTAGCTTTAGTAAAGTTGCCAAAAATGAGTCAATTTCACCCTAGCTCTTAATTATAGATATTACGATTCTATGACCGATTTAGGAATTCGATGTCTCGAAGCGAATCAATAAAGACGCAAGTGCTTTACGGGTAAAAATTAATTAAAACCTATAAAAATGTATGTTGGAATATATTGCTAAAATGTCAAAATTATAGTAATGTCGCTACAGTTAATGGTACATGTGTTTAACAGATTTGTTTCATAAGAGTATGTCTTATTTCCCTAGTAACCCTAAATTTAGCACCGTGTCCAGGGACAATCCAATCAGCTATATTAGCAACCTTTAGTCGATTTTTTACTTGTTGAGCTTTATCCTCACTTCCGGCTTCTAACCAAATGTTGGAATTCTCAATATCTTCATATTTTTCAAACAAATCACCTGAAAATAAAATAGTTGCGGTATGGTGGTAACTGAATTAAAATTGACTTCATCAATAGCAGCAAACTTATTAAAGCATAAGGTGGTGTAAGAAACATCAAATTAGATGAGGAATTATGGAAATTATGGTGTACCCACAAAGATATCACCTTTGGGGAATCAAAACGGGACTTTGGGGATTCAAAAGATACTAAACTACACTAAATGTTACACATTAAGGCATATTATTGTGTTTAATTTTGTTTGGCAAGTATTGTATACTTATACATGTAGCCTTGATAGCTCAGTGTCTGGGCGATCGCCTTTAATTCAATATAGTCGAGCAACCGGAGTTCAATCCCGATATGTGAAGTCCGCATGGTGGGCTATGCCATGATACACACTGAGAAGTCGTTTGCTCAGCAGTGGGACATGTATAAGTTGTTACTTTAAATTTTTTTATACATGATTTATGCAATACACAATAATTATAAATAAACTTGGAAAACATCAATTGAAAATACTCAATTTTACCAAAGTGTTATGAAATTTTTAAAAACTTGAAATGAAAACGAACCTGTTAATGCAATTAATTCTTTTTGTGTTGATGTAACAAGAACAGTAACATCTGTTAATGTATGACCTGGAGTTGGAATCACTTTTACTGTATCATTTATAATATATTCCTCTTCTGAAACATGTTTATTAGAAGTAATCAGTCATGTGTAGACATTTTATCATAAAATAATAGGTCCTTTTGAATTTACCTTTTTCAAAAGGAAATGAATAATATGTATCCTTAAATGATACACTAAAACCAACTATATGTTTTGCTCTGAGAAACAAGTTATTGTTTCCAATATGGTCAGAGTGACCATGAGTTGAAATAACATAATGTATATCATCTGGCAAAAGATCATGTGTTTTAAGAGCTGAAATAGGCAATAGGTAAATTAATAAAACCTATTGAGTATGTATTTCAAGATTAACATTCCTATGAATAAAACCTTATTCAATAAATGTTTATCCTCTATTTATTTAATATAAAAATCTTTAGTGGGTCTTAACATTTACAAAATTTGAAGATTGTAAATATTTTTTTTAATAACAACTTTCCAATGTGACAAGCTGTTGCATGAATTAGTCCAAGGTAGGTAGTTCTAGGTACCACAGCGTACCATAGAAGTATTATATTTTGTGTTGAATCTAGTAATTTAGGTAACTGGAGCCCAGTGATTTTTGGCATTATAATACATGTTTGGCAACGTATCTGCACAGCAGGTGTTGTTTACGGGCGTTAAATCTGTTTACTGTGTGTTTCCTTGTAAACTTTAAAAAAAGTTAATATAAATAATACAAAATGATAAGACTGCATTCCACGTAACAGATAGGTACTGTTGTTGTTCAAATGACTTGACCTGCGAAGTGTAACAGCCTACTAATAAACAAACCATTTAAGTTTCGTCCGCTAATGTTGGTTATGCTTATGCATCTACAACCCTCCGATGTTGTAGATATCTATAAGAGGTTTCACTCACCTACTTAACGTAATGAATACTTAATTTGAAATTAGACAATTTTTGAAAACACACCGTTAATTATTTTTTCTGAATCCCAAGCTGTCATAGTGTCTACAATGATATTATGAGCACCTCTAATTAGCGAACATGTACAGTTAGCTACCATGTCACCGTTTGCAAATACTTCGGAATATCCATTGAAAAGCACAATTACTTCACTCATTGTTTAAATAATATTTACTAAAAGATAACCTAACTAAAGATGTCAGAAGCTCATTAATCCTAACAGCTGATCCGTGTAAATATTATTTAAATTACCTCTTGAAGACAAAATAAACGCTGACGAAATTGACGAAAACAATCATTTATGTGAAAAAAATTCATAACATTACAAAAAAATGGTTCACGAAAATAAAAAACGAAAACGGAAGACACGGTTCGAATCAAAACTCGCAACATTCACAATTTAATGTTTCATCTTGAGTGCAGAGACTAGCACTAAAAATGAAAATGATTCCTAAAATTTTTGTAAAAGTAAAGGCATCTCAAAAACATCTCTCGTACCTAACAATATTCATTGTTTAATGTTCTTTCGTTCTGCTTTCGTTCTTTGTAACGTGCGTCTTGTTGCATGCTGATGCGATGCACACTAGATGGCATAGCACCAAGCATTGCTAAAATTCAATAAAAAGAACGTAGATAAATGTCAAGATTATTAGGCCATGAGATCATCGTCTGCTTAGCTGAGTTGGTAAAGTGTCTGAGAGTGAAACCGAAAGATGCAGGTTTGAATTCCACAACGTCGAAGTTTTTGTTTGATTGCAAATATATATGTATGTAGGATTAATTATTTAATAGTTGAGTAAAAGATGATTTTTGAACGAAGTATTGTGTGAATGAGAAGGATGGATGACGTAAAAGGGATGGAGGGACTTTTCGCAACGACGCCACGAACGAGTAACGTGTATCTGTGTCTTAAAATGTATTAATTTAAATAAAGATGAAAATAGTAACAATATACTCAAAATAAAGATTTTATTTATCCTACGCCTACATGTATAATATGTATTTATTTACAAAGGAAAAGTATGTTTATCTAGTCTAGTTAGTTTGGGACTAGAAAACGTTGTGTAAAAATGTGCCCTTAATATTTAATAAGGTATATTTATTTGACAATTTCTGTAGTACTTAATATTTTATTATTAGAGGTATTTTGTTGTTTACGTTTGTTTGTTTTCCTTCGTTCACGACAAAAAGTAGCAACGGATTGACATGATTTTATCAAATTGATAGTTTTATGTCGGGAGAGTGGCGCGAGAGATACGCGTTTCATCCAGAATAAAACATTTCATTACCACGGGAAACTACGGAGGGTGGTCAAAATATTCGCGGAAAGGGCTAGAAAGAGACAGGAACTGTCCCGTATGTCTAGGACTACTAGGTGGATAAATCTGTTCTTGAATATGCTCGTTTGTAGAAGATGCAATTAGAAGAAATGGTTTGAGAATCATCTGGTACCATTCTCAACATTGTCCAGGATAATCTTGGCATGTCAAAGGTAATAATTATAAATAGTAGGATAAAGGACAAAAAGCGCGCAGACGCTTTAATCCCTAAGCTAAACAGCTGATTGTTACTGATGTTATTCCTTTTACTTGACCATAAAAATGACAGCATGTTGTAACAAACAGCTACACTTTTACCAAATAATAGCATGTTTACTGTTACAGCTGTTTTTGTTTTTCTATGTTAACAAGACAAGAAACTATAAAGCTTTCTAAGAAAGAACTTGTAACAGAATGTAATGTCCAGTAAGTTCAGTACCAACTGTGACACAGTGTAACATCTGTTTTTATCTCCTTCGAACAAGGTAACCGATGTAAGCACAAATAGAACATGCGACACTTGTATGGAACAAGAACTGTTATTAATATTCGTACGTAACAGGAACAGTCTGTTGTTTTGTTGTTGTTCTTGATGTTTGGACATCTGCTTTAACTATTTACCGGTTACGATAAATTCACCTCAATCACTCCTATTATAGCTAGTACCTGGAGGACCTGTGTAAATGATCGTGATACGAACCGCGGCTGTTTGTTTTGGGGCCGCCCGATTACCGACCGAGCTTTTATAACATTATTTTTGCGGCGAAATTTACCGTCATATTCGAATGATATATTTCATTCCCTGAAAACAGGGATAAAAGGACATTTTCTAAAAATGAAACCTAGCCAGATCGATTTTTCGCCCCCGAATCTACGCACATACTAAATTTCATGAAAATCGCTGGTGCCGTTTCCGAGATTCCGATTATATATATACAAGAATTGCTCGTTTAAAAGTACTCTGTGTTGAGTACTGACTAGTCACTACTCTGTGCTTATCGTGTATCCTTTTATCTTTATATATCTGTCTCACTCCTCAGCTGTCTTTGCCGGTTATTTTTAGGTTAAAATCTAAAATAAATTCATGAACTACCAGTGATACTCTGTTAGGTAGGTTATTTTAAATTTTCAATGTGCGCCACTTGCAAATTTATTTATGAAAATTGCGCATTTAAATAAATGCGCATATAACGCTTTATGCCCTGCATTTTCTCTCTATACCTATTGTTTACACAGGGTTATGAAACAATAAATATATCCCATCTGCCGCTTGAAGAGCGTCAGAAGAAAATTAACAATGTCTGGTGATGTACAGCCAAGAAAACGTAAAGATAAAAGAAGGAAAAAAGGTAAATATTGCCTTGATATAATTATAATTCTTGTAATGAAAATAATTATAAATATTCCTATAATTACTCTCTCATAGATGAACTCGGGGTGGAAGAGCCTCGTGGAACAGCGGCAGTATTTGGAGAAGGCGACGTGTTAATGCATTCATATCATGAACATGGCACTGGTGGACATTGGTGTGCTAAAATCATCTTCTTTTCTCTATTGGCTGTTCTTGTTACTTTAATTGGTTTAATCATTCTAGAAAATAGAGGACTATCTGAGTGTAAGTATTTTAAAGCAGCTTTTTTACCTGCCCATTTTTTTAACAGTGAAGACTGTTGCATTGCCCTACCACAGTTATTTACTTGCTTATTGTTTAAAATGTTTTAATCTTCACCCATAAATAAAGTTAACATAAGCTATTGTCAGATGATTGCATATAAATGACAATTCTTGGCCAGCATACAAATTTTTACTTTATTCTATTAATTAGAAATTCCTTAAAGGATACTCCAAATATCACAATAAATAACTTCTGGGTGTAAAATTAAATGTATGCGTATATTAATAATATTCCCTTGCCAATTTGTTGCATATATTTCATTGAATGACTAGAAGTGTAGGTTATTAAAACGTTATGTTGTTTTTTGTTATCAACAAACAACTGTATTCATTATTGAGATCCCAGAGCCACCAGACGTCACATATTTTCTGACTAAAGAAATGTGTAACTTGATCATACACATTTCTTTAGTCAGAAAATATGTGATGTCGGGTGGCCCTGGAATCTTGCTCTTTTAGCTTAATATAAATGAATACTAGTTGATTATTGTCTTACTGAACATTTGATTACCTGAAATAAAAGTAATTAAGTAATTAAGTATATCATTATTTTGTAACATATTATTCCATTGTGCAATTGTTTAGTCAAAAATTGCTCTGTAAAATTACACCAAGTGATTTAATTTCCTTTTTGTTTAATAGTGGAAGCGAATGCAATAGAATCTCGTTACTCTGGAGTCCTAGAAGGTTGGATTGAAGACGCACATGATGATGACCATCATGATGAACATACATTAGAATTAAAACACCATGTAAGTTCTTACTTTTTTATGAGAGATGATATCAAACAACAAACAGTATGCCTCATGTTTAGTATGTACTCATAAGGGACATTTTCGCAACCTTTTTGCTTGCAAATGCATCTAACTCTCATTTTACCTCTTATTTTATTATTACTTTACCTTGATTGCTGGATAAAGTATAAATACTTTCACTTTATGCCTGCCTTCTTTGATGTCATGGTACTTTCAAGAGCTACTATGAATATCCTTAGAGAGACATAAGAGTGTATTACTTTCACTACTATTGTATATCCATAACAATTTACATTTTTACAATTTTTACCAACCTTATATAGGCCAACAATTGTATAGTTATCATTTGTAATGTGGTAGGTAACCGAATTAAAAAATGAGTAAATGATTGCTAAATTTCATATAGCTGACAACATTTTACCAAATTTTGTTATATTATATTTAAAAACTAAAGTGTTTTCTTGATATGTCATCGTCATAATTTCTAAAACATCTTCATGGTCAAATTAGAGGTTTGAAGATATTCATGATGACAATGACATTGAGTTAGATCATGAGGAAGATGGTAAAGATGAGGAAAACCACAGTGATGAGAATGATGTTGATGATGAGGAAGATGTTGATGATGAAGAGGATCTTCATAGTGAAACTAAAACTGAAGAGGATGAAAGTGAAGAGGATGATGAACAAGAAATAGATGATGAAGAAATTCTTAACAACAATAGTGAAGAGCTTGAAGAAGATGATCGTGATGACGACGCTGAAAGCGATGATGGCGATGAAAATGAAAATAATGAGGTGTGAACTAAAATAGAATGAAATTACTTTTAACAGCATAGTTTTAATTGCTGCAATTTATGTAACGCTTAAAAAACATTGTATTCTAATGTCTTGAAAAAATTTAAACAGGGTGAAAGGAATATTAAATACGAAGGTTTAAATAAATATAATGATCAAGATGATGATGAAGATGAGGATGATGATAAAGAATTAGAAAATGATTACCAAGGTGAGCAGAGGGACGATGATGACTCAGAAGAGTACATTGGGGATTACAGTCAAGATGATGCCAGCGATGATGAAAATGAGAATTATATCCATGATGATGAAAACACAAGCATTGAACAAGAATTAGAGGACATTAGAAATTATGATACTTCTAACTTTAATGAAATGGAAAATGTTAAAGAGGTTCAAAATAATACTGTAATAAGATGTGTGAAACTAAGATTGATTTTTTAAATACTAATTTACTGAAACTAACAGTGTAACATTTCAAAATTTATAATATCTCAATATTAGTCTCAATATTAAATTTACAAAAAAATGAATGTTTGTTTGAGATAGATGTGATATGTGTTGCTGTATTATTTTTAATGATATTTTAACTATTATATATAATAATTCAAGCTTTATTTATATAAATTTTACTTTTTGTTTCAATATTGCTATAACATAAAAACAATTTTTAAACTATAAAATTGCATTAAAACAGTTTATTGCAAATGAAAAATCTGCTTTAAGTTGATTAATATTTGTGGCGTTAAAAAGATTAACCAAAAGTTTTATAAAATTTTGAGTTGATACATGCATCCCAACAAAATAACATTATACTTCACTTGTTTAATACTATTTGAGATGCATGGAAGTGTTTAATTTAGGGTACAATAATTTTACTTCTACTTGTATGATTGATAAGTGTAATTGATGATGAAATATGTTTGTAATATAATAAGTGTGCTGCTTTCCCAGGATGCTGAACAAGATGATGCAGAGGATGTTGACGAAATTGAAGAAGAAATAGAGAAAATAGAAAAGGAGGTTGTAGATGAAGAAGAGGAAGCCATTTCATATGAAGATAATGATGACTTTGAGAAAGATAAAGGTACCTTTTTTCATTACATTCAGATCAGATCCTTATTATATTACCTACTTTTGTTTATACCCAAGCCTGGCAGCAAGATTGGCATTTGTTATTTGGCCTTTCTGATAGTTAGCACTAAGAAACAAATTTTTGCTCGAGTGATTTTTTGTACCATAATCGGTCACCAGACAGTAATTTAATAAAGTATAAATAAGTAATTGGAATGTGTTTTGTTTCAAGAATATAAACAATAGTAATTTCGTCATGAATGTCGTTGCAAGGTTGTCTATTCATATATATATATATATATATAAAATTAACATAAATTGAGAAGTTACATCATCGTTTTTTGTGATTTTGTTTACTAAATTAAGCAGGAAAAATAAAAAAATCCATCTTTATCATTAAAACTTTTACCGTTTATATAATGTTTTATCTAGGCGATGACGACAACGAGGAAGATGATGATGCGGGAGAGAGTGAGGACATTTCTCTACCACCAGTAGTGGAGCACATTACTGCTACTTCTGGGAAGCCATTTGTTGAGGTAATTATCTGATGTGGGAAAATTTAGTATTATGAATGAAACTAGAGGTCGTCCAATTTTTGACAGACGAAACGTAGCCGTCATCTCGACTAATGAAACGGTTGCAGAAAACGGTGTTGCATTATTGACGGCTTAAACGACGAAACTTATCCGACATTTTCAACACAATCTATACCCTATACCTCACTACATACACTTATATACTTCCAGAACTATTTAGAATTTGCAAATATTTTCAAACAAAATGACAACGAAAAAAATTCTACGCTAAAATTATAACAACTAATTGACTAACCCAACAAAATCTAGACAAATATGGAACAATATCCATGCGACGCCCTCACCGGCTAGAATTACAGGATTTTTAACGAATATGGCTCTACCACAGCTGTCTGTTTCTGATGATTTAATCTATTCTTAAACCTGTTCTAGAATTGTTATGTTATATATTATTATGTTTAGTTCAGAACTAAATATTTGAGCTTAGATTTATTTATGTATAGCATATTAATGTGCATTCCTTACGCACAGACAGTTGGTATCAACTTATCGTATCTTTGTCAATTTACTGCTATTAATGAACTATTTTATAGTTATAGCTATGCTTGTTTACCCATGACTTTGACCATTTTTTATTTTATGCCTTCAATAACAGTTGGATGACGATTCGTCGTTGGAAAAGCCAACAGACACACTTGCTGAAGAGGATGAGTATGAACGTCGGCAGGAGCAGTTGCGTCTACAAAAAGAAGAAGGATCATCACAGAGTAAGTCTTTTTTTTTTCATATCTAATAATATTCATAACAACACAATTAGCTACATAAGTTGCCTCTGCTTACTAAATGTTCTTTATCATACATTTATTTTTAATCTGTTAAAATATTCTTAATAATTATTTGTAAAATTTAAATAACCAAAACTTTCACATTGTGTTAAAAAATGACCAGTGCTTTTAATTAACATATCCTTAATATGCTTCAGACTGTGATTTGTGAAGCTTTAACTAATATCAGCACTAACCGCTAATTCTCAAAAATAAAAAAGCAGCTGAAAATATTATATGTTTACGAGAAAATAAACATTTTTGAATATTGTTTCTTTTATTTTATATCTTTGACACCTTCCTGACTATATAATTCTCAGTTGTTTGTTGAGACTTGTTAAAGTTTTTACATTTTGCTTCGTTAAAGAAATATTATTATTTATTATGACAAAAAATAGAAACAATTATATAATAACAGTAAATGTCTCTCTTATTTCCTCAATCTTAATCCAATTTAGCATAAAATTGTAATTCAATTCAATCGATAATTATAAATGTCTTATTTTTATAAGGTTTTTTAAGTAGTCTTTTGTACAATGTAATGGTTTAGAACTTTGTTGCACATTTGTGTAAAAATTGTTCCATGCTCCATGGAGGGTTATATAATGATCCAAGATAAAATTGTTCTATTACAAAGTTTAAAGTAATTTAATACTTTCATTATTTCTCCATCATTTGTTAATTTATATTAAAAATACTGAAAGAGTGACAATGCTTGAGCATTCAGTTTTTTCACAAAATTTATACAAGAGATATATTTGATAGCAAAAATTGTTTAACATTGGCTTGCAAGCTATTTTAGGTTTGATCTATGGATAAAAGCAAACGTTAACAAACGTTATTACAAAGTTGTTCTCATTATTTTTTTTGTTTTTGAATAAAAAGATTCCTTGCCTCCCAATTAATTTCCAATATTATAAACAAAATATTTTAATTAATCAAATCATTCATTTCAAGTCTATCCTATTAATATTTATGTTCCAATTTTGTCGTGAAAAAGTTTTCAAAGGCTTTTTTTTTGTTGATCGCAACTAGTTTTAGTTTTCATATTTCAAACGAATTCCTTACATAATACGGTTCCCAATTAAGGATCTTCTCTATAATACATATTTTATTTTTCTACCTTGTTTTACAGTTTTCACTGGTGGTGATGTTTTTATCAAAGTGAATTGCTACGATGAAACTGGCAATCTTTTTATATATTAAAAATAGGTTTTAGTATTTAGAATAGGATATAAATTCTTGTAATTGAAATTATCTTTTAATATTTTTTGCAAAAGTAAGCTGACATAATTTATTTCATGTGATAAATTCTACCTTTATAATACTCATGCCTTAGAGACGTCACTTTACGTGAGGCAGTAGTGTTAAAAGAACGGGCCGTGTTATTATTTAGTATTATGGCTTAAGCGTGTCGCGTGTGTTGCAGTGTGGCTGAAGTTGGTGGTGGGTGGTGCGCTGCTGGTGGCAACACACGCCGTCATACGACGATCGACAGCGGCACGCGGTGCGTATATATGGCAACCCAACTGTCGCTGTCGCTGTCTGCCCCTTTCATCCGAAAAAAATTAAATATAACTAGATGACACTCGCCACCATAACACTAAATAATAACTTTGGATCATGTCTTCGTTAAATAAAGTAAATACGTACTTACCATATCTTGAAATGTACCCGTGTAGCTTTAGAAATTGAAAGAATTTTATTAGTCCCCACGGCCTAATAGATATTTATTCGAATCATTATTGAAAAATGGGATATATGCCGTTACAGGCTAGTTACACTATTAATTCTTAAAACAGATATACCTGAAGGTGAAGATAACGCAACGCAAGAAGAAACTCCATCTTTAATTGACAGACGTATGACCCTCATTCCTAAAGAAACGCCCCCGATTCAAGTTCACGAAACTTACGAGCCTGTACAAGAAGAACCTATCCAAAAAATACTTTCGGAGACAAAAACCCTTAATTCGTCTCCAATTAGCAAGCAAGAAAGCGAGGATGAAGAAGAAAGCGAAGATTTATTAGAAACTGAAGTAAGTGAACTATCATTGTCTATTATTTTTCGTATACCATAAAATCCTGATCAAACAATAAATTTATAAACATATTACAGCTCATCCCGGATAAAGCGTCGAATGATAGAGACAAGGAATTGTATAGTGATGAAGATGAGGAAGATGAACAAGATGTAGTGGAAGAAGAAAAGGAATCTACAAAGGAAGGCGGCAACGTTGAAGTTGAGAAAGATGCTGAGGAATCTGAACCTGAAGAGGTACCAGACGACGTCGAGATTATTGATGACGAACAAATCGAAGAAGAAATAGAAGAGGACGAAGACGAAGAAGAGATCTCAGATGTTGACGACGCAGAATTATTGAGTCGCCTCGACGCTAAATACGGACGGCTGCCAGACCCGCATAGGCCTGGACAAAAGCACAGTAAACACACCATGCTTGAGTGTGGCCGCTTTATCATTGTCTCATTGCTGAGGCATGAGTCAAACATTAACTAATTAATAATCGTAGTTGGCATGACTAACACAAATGTGAGTGTTCTAAGCTTATAATATATTCTTTTCAGCAATTCAATAAATCTCAACATTTGTGTGTGTACTTATAAAACTGTTTATTTAATAATTTAATACATAATATCTCAGCGACAATTGAACGCATCTGAGTGCTTCTTCTATTTCTATGTTCTATTTTTTTTGTCTCTCTAGGATGTTCCGTTTTTATGCATCTTCTGCACATCAAAACCCAAACCCCTGTAATACATATGTGAATATTAGAAAAACATGTACCAATTTGAGCAGGAATTATTTTGCAACACCAACTCTGCTTATTTACTCTTGCCTTGACATGTGAGAAGATGGCAAATCAGCTGGCTGTTCACCTGATTTTAAGTGATAACCGCCACCCATTGACATTTGCAACACCCGTAGGGTTGCAGAAGCGTTACCAACTTTTAAAAAAGTCGGCCCGGCTACCTCACCAGACGAAACGAAGAAGTATATATATAACATTTCCATTTCACGCCGGTTTTCTGTGAGGTCGTGGTAATTGCCCAAACGGACCTGCCCATGCTAGTTATTTGAGATAGTAATTGGTGTATATTTTTTTTAATTCTAGAGGACGGCGGCAACACCATCGAAGATGAGTGGCCGGGCGAACCTAGCGATCAGTATTGGCGTCAACAACTCGACCAAGCTGAGGATGAAATCCGCCAGGTATTTTATTTATCTGTCAACTAGCGCTTTTTGTTACAGTTGTAGGGAAGAAGTGTTCATTTAAGAATCTGTAATAATCATAGAACTTACGATCTCGACATACTCGCACATAAGTTTGGTACAGGTTTTGCTTATAATATTAGTGACATGGTCAACAATACACCGACACTCGAGATGAATATTTTAATTTTTAATGAATCACTTGGATCATTTGAACCATTCACCCACACGGGTTTTAATTAAACTGACTGAAAATAAACGGGTAAAAGAACTTTTGTATTCTTACTTTTCTATATTTACTATTGTTGTGTTATTGAATATAATAATATTAATACAATGCATGAATAGCGGCACTCGTAGCAAAACGGTTAAGTTTTCTTCATTTTCATTTTTTACGCTCAGGGTAACTTAATATTTTCCGTTTTGGCAACAAAGATGATAATGTCACAAAGGAATTTAAAGCACTTTGATAAAAAAGTAGATACTATATCGTTTTGCAATGGGTAAAATTAATGTTTAATATTTGCTTTAACCTTCAACCTGTACTAATATGTAATAAGTAAGAATACATACTACATTTTAATTTGTATATTGAGTTATTATAATGTAACAAATTGTATTTTAATTTAACCATGAGCAAACATAAATATTACATAATGTATTTATAAGGATACATATTTTAATTCCAGGATTGGCTGGATTAACATTCGTTTTTTTTTTTGCACTTAAATGTCCCCTACCATTTAAATCCAATCCCTTGCTCGTTGTGCCATTTTTTTCCCTTGACTCGTAGGCGACATGTTCGGGCAGCGTTTCGTGCCCGCACCCCGCACGTTTCGTCCCCCAACACGTCACCGACGATTTCTCATTTTAGTTTATATTGCGTCGCTCAAATTTTTGCGTCGTGTTTTACGTATGTTGCGGACATAGTTAGTTGATAAAAAAAACAAGAACTATCACGGTTTATATTACAGTTTATAAAAGGACAATATACTCGCCTTTGGATGGGATTGTGAACAAGCTCTCGATGAAGGAAAGAATAATAAATAAATAACCATATGCAGGAACAAATAAATAAGCTCGTATATCTGGATTCCGCGCAAGATTCTGTCCGGTCACGTTGTCGTACGACCAACTAGCTACGTCCGAGCGTTTGCATTTGTGTGCGAAACTTGCGTGTGAGTGTGTACTAACCTGCGGAGGGCGATTGGGCGGCGGCCGACGGGCGCCTGGCGGCCGCGGAGCTGGCCAATAGCGGACGCGCACGCTGGCTCGCCGCGCGCTCATTGGACGCCCAGGCGGAGGCTAGGCGCGACAACGCGCTACTTACGCGCGCCATCGCCGCATACCTTCAGCTGCTCAAGATGAACGAACTACTCCCCGATGCCAAGTTGCGGCAGGTCGCCGCCAGGGCGCTCGACCGTATAAAGTTTAGAGGTGAGTGCTACCATATCAAAACAGAAATTCTATGTCTCCTAATGAAACGTACAGTAGAAGTGTTTATAATTTTCCCTTTTGTCGCTTCAGTAAATAACCGGAGATTCGGCCTGTATAATGGTAGCGATGTGCGCTGGTCCATGGGCGATAATAACCACTTACCGTCATATTTCGCAACTTTCTTATTTAATAAAGACGTCCCGCTATAATAATGGTACTTTGTTTTATATTTCTCAGAATAGCGGTTGAGTGCTGACGAAAATTATATTAAAACTTCAAAAGTTATCTTTGTTACAACTGTTTGGCACCGTTTAACTATTTATGAAATATGTAAATTATTCTACTCGAATAATTTACATATTTCATAATTATGTGTGTATTGTAGTCGACTCACATGGGGCAACAATTTGTACAGCCATACAAACAGGTGTTCTATGTTCTTAGATGGTTTGACAGGACAGGTCGTAAAATTATTCTTTATTTATACTTTTTTGGTGTAAGGGCCACAGCATGATGATACTGATGAAAACCTAACTTCTTATTTTTATTGATTTATATTTAACTTGATATTGTTGTATTGGTTGAAATTATAAGTTTTATTTATCTTTGAAAGTATGAATATCCGAAGTGTGCAACTTCTTGTTAATAGAAACAAGGACAGAAGACGAAGATAGGAAAGTGATTTCTAAAAATAAAAAAACACAGTTTGGCAAAATATTTCATGACATAATTTCTACAGGAAACTATCTCAGCGGTGAACCCGTCTACCGGCTGTTGATTCGCCGCTTCCCTGACGAAGTTTCTTATAGAAACAACTTGACCGTTTCCTTCCTAATGGCAAACAGGTATATTAATTGCTTATTGCATACATATTTGTCAAACTCACATGATAATGAATCACTAGTGTTTTTCTTATCCTTTTTTTGTTTCAGGGCCGACTTAGCTGGCGACGTGTTGAAAGAAACTCTCAAACAGTGGCCGGACGATCGTATTGCGCTAGCCCACTATGCGTTCGTTTTAAAAACTAATTACAACAAACTCGAGGAATCCGTCTCGCTCTTTCGCAAAGCGTTAGAGAAGGACGAGGGACCCGCGTGCGAGCCGCGTTTCTACTACCATTTGGGGGACGCCTTGCTACTGCTGAATCGGTTCGAGGAGGCGCACGAGGTACACAAGCGCGGGGCAAAGCACGGCCACTTCCTGTCACCTTCGCAGCGCTCCCTATACAACGTGGAGCGCTTAAAGAGCCGCCCCTGGTGGCGGGTGGAGGAAACTCCGTACAAGAAATTGGCGCGAGCGCTGGAGCAATCATGGGAGGCCATACTGAAAGAGGGAGAAGCGGCGCGGGCTCTGTACGAGAAGGAAAAAGAAGGCCTGAAGGAGAGGGGGGAGTGGTCCCAGTTGGACATTTTCGTCAGGGGCCAGGAAATCCCGGGGCGCTGTAAACGTGCACCGGTCACCTGCGCCATAGTCAAAGCTGAGGCGGCAGCGGCCAAGTGCAGGAGGGGGCAGATAAAGTTCAGCTCCATGGAGCCAGGCACCCACGTCCGGCCGCACGTCGGCCCAACGAACTGCAGGCTCCGAATGCATTTAGGTTTAAGCAATACCAAAGACACCTATATACGAGTGGATCAGGAAACTAGGTAATTCACAAAAATTTACCCCTACCGTTCGCGTTGCAGGAGCTTTTTAGTGTTCCGTACCCAAAAGGTAAAATTTTACTTAGACTCCGCTGTCTGTCTGTCACGTCATGAACGGTGATAAACATAAAGTTGACATTTTCACAGATGATGTATTTCTATTGCCGATATAACAACAAACAACCAAAAAACAGAATAAAACAATGTTTAAGTGGCTCTCCCATACAACAGACATGATTTTTTTTGCCGTTTTTATAGATAATGGTATGGAAACCTTCGTGCGCGAGTCCGACTCGCACTTGGCCGGTTTTTTATAGTCAGTCCGTTTAGTTAAACGCTCACACGTTGCAGGCAGTGGGAGACTGGGAAGGTGCTGCTGTTCGACGATAGTTTCGAGCACGAGGTGTGGCATAACGGGACCGGAACTCGGCTAGTGCTGATCGTAGACGTCTGGCATCCCGACCTCACCGCCGCGGAGCGACGCCAGCTACCCGCCATCTGACGGCGCGGGTTATCAACGTTTAAAAAGAAATGACCTTCGTGTCTGTGGTGCGCAAAACTTAAATGCCCCTCTGTGATTGGACTAAGCAATTAGTATAAGCAGAACAGTGGATAAATTTAGGAAGACTCAGCAGTCTCAAAGTTATAGACATTCGCGAACCGACGGAGACAAGTTTAATCAGGAGCATTTAAGTTTTGCGCTACCAATACACAACCAATAAAACTCACAATTTCATTCCATAATAATCCTATGTAAACATAAAGCTTGTTCACGTCCCACTTTTGGAGGGTTGTATCAAGTTGTAATTTTTTTTGGTTTGAAAGAAAACCATTTTTATTAGCCATTTTTCAATTATTATAATCTCTTTTTTCTCTATGACGTGTTTGGTAAAAATTATATCTAGTCTACATACAAAATAAAGTAGAGAAAAGAGTGTTGTCTTATCAGAATCGTTGAAAAAAGTTTATTGATTCATTTTGATAATATCTTTGCAATAATAGGTTAATAAGTAAAAAATAAAATTAGTGTTGAATAGACTATAATAAATGAATACTGCAAATATTAATGTAAAGAAAATTTAAAAGTTATGTTGCCTGGATACTTTTAGAATGTATCCAATGTATCCTATGACAGGTTTAAATATAATGGTGATTTTTTGCATATGTATATATAATTCAATGCTCAATTTTTTTTTATTTTCCAACAATCTCCTTATTATTCCTAAATATACAAGTTCGTTTATCATAAAATAAAAATACTAGTTCCCTGACCCTGACTCATGTAAAAAATAATAAGATTTTTTTTTTGACATGTAGTTTCACCATGCATCAACTGCAACTTACAAATGTATTTAGCTGTTTGCTTTGTACATAAATAAAAAATATACACTTGTCTAGACCATAAGCTGAACATAAAACTTATTCATATTACAAAATATAAAGATGTCACAGAGTCTGTGCCATCTTTATATTTTGTAGCTGAAGTATGCTTCAGCCACAGACGATAGCCATATTAGAGCCATATTACCTTTGTTTGGAAGCCTCATTTCAGTCTTATATCCTGGGGTATAAAAAAAACACTAGATACACAAGTACTGGGATGTTTGTATATTTGGTATAAAATTACCCAAAAGTTTACCTAAAAATAACAATTAAAATATCTTATTCTAATAAAGCTCATTTCCTATGTTCTAACTAAAAAACAATTCATTGATATAAGTGTAATAAGCTCGCAAGTTATGTGGCAAATACAAAGATTAAATTCATTGAAAGCTATTGATTTTGACATTTCAATGTTATCTTTTTTTCGCTTAATATAATGAAGTGATAAATATCAGAGCACTTATAAAATGCTTAATAATATGTTGTGAATATAAATAGATCAAAAAACATTTTCTTAAGTTTTAGACATGGACGGAGAAATCCTAAAATCGGTGGATATAATAAAGGAATGTTAGATTGAAAACAACATAACCAAATGTATATGAAAGTTATAAAAAAATATAAATTTAATAAACTTATGAAACTAAGTAAGTATACTGAGTGTTGTGCAAACAGATAAAAAATTACAATCTAATTCAAAGTCTTAAGCTAAACTATTTAAGTATCATTATTTTTAAATTTCGTTTTGGGAATAGGTACCTTAAATATTATACTTTCGTTGCCGTTTACAAATTATAGGCTTGTGTCACAACATAACACGGTCATTAAAGCTACATATAATCGTAACAATATAAAAGGAATGTATTTTATACATCAACAACAATGACTCCGAGATTCCTTAGTATAAATGAATGTTAAAAAAATTATATAGTTTAAAAAATATTTCAAAAAACAACTACCATAAATTCCAAGAAGTGCATTGCGGTTGGATATTTTTCAAAACTAATTTAAATCTTAAAGATAAATATTAACAATTTCAAACAAAACTGAGCATCACTGGTAATAAGGCACAGGGTGAATTAAGACACCATATTATAGGTGTCATTAGATGGCTGATAAGCAGGCGGGCCGGGGGCTTGAGGTGTGGCTCGTGCGCTGTAAGGGGGCGCTGGAGGGGGCGGTGCCTCCCATCCAACTTCACCCCCGGGATATCCCATCGTGCTGTAATCATTCCCGCCATACGATGCGGACTCCGAACACGGGCTGACCGTTTCCATACGAGAGTCATAGTTTGGTGCAGCCACCTCGTATCCACGGCTAATATTATCGTATGACGGTATATTCGATTCGTAGTTTCGTTGCTCATAATTCACAGGTTCGTTGTATGGACCGACCACATCATGGCCAGTATTGGTGCCGCTCCTTCGTGCCGTGTTAAATCGATTGGTCATGATCGGTACGGACTCAATTGGTGGAGGTGGATCATAGATATCCTGCGAGCGTGTCAATGTGGTTTTCTCCGTTGGATGGTAGGAAGCTGGACGTGCTGCGTGGAAATTTGAATACGAAGAGTGCGCTGAAGTGGGGCGGGAAGGTCTAGAATCACGAGGCAATGAAGCGTTGGATGACAAGTACCCCGCATTTCTATACGAACGCCGCGATCTGCGCACCGAGCCAGCCCCTCGCGAACCAGAACGACGCTTGACACGTCTCGGCGTCATAGGTTTGGCTGAACTCTCGCTTATGTTTGTTTCGGTGGGACTTAGTTCTATTGTATATGCAGGACGTCTGGGTAAAGTGCTTTTATCTGCATCAATTGAAACATTAATTTTAATCCTAAAAACTTGAAAGTGTAACACAGTTTAAAGTATAATATAACATACCTGAAATAGATTTATGCTTTTTATATGAACGATATGCAAGAAGGACTGTTAATGGCAATGCTGTGGCAGTAAGAAAAGCAGCTATGGTAGACTGTGTGAGTTCAACATGATGCCACTGAAGAAAACATCCATCAACATGTGCTGGGCGCCAGGTACCAGGGCCATCTACTTCACCCCAAACAGGTTGACAGCCCCAACCATTGCCTTCCCACCAACTAACACTGCCAGTACCTAATGATAATAATCCACTCTCCTGAAAGGAATCCAGTGATGTTTATATTGTTAGTCAGTCTTGATCAAAATGTAAATTTAGATCAAAACAATGAATTTTAATGTTTGAAAAGGATAACATATTATACTGGACTGCATTTATTTATGTATACTCAATAATTTGATAAGATAATGTTTATTAAAATATGTAGAAAAAGTGCGAAAAGATTGTCGCCGCTGTGGGAATCGAACCCACGTCTTCGGCATTCGCGGCCTGACGCTCTAGCCACTGAGCTAAACGGCTGATTACCACACCGACGAAAATCTTAACGCATTCTTCCACATTGTTTTCTTAGCATTTGAAGCAATGCTTGGCGCCATCTATTGTTATATCCTTTACAGCATACAAACAATTTCGAATATCGTTTTACAACGATAATTCGAACGAGAGATGTCGCCATTGCTTTTTTTTAGAAATTTAAATTGTTTATAGTGCTAATCTTTGCACTTAAGATTGAACATTAAAATATGTAGAAAAAGTGCGAAAAGATTGTCGCCGCTGTGGGAATCGAACCCACGTCTTCGGCATTCGCGGCCTGACGCTCTAGCCACTGAGCTAAACGGCTGATTACCACACCGACGAAAATCTTAACGCATTCTTCCACATTGTTTTCTTAGCATTTGAAGCAATGCTTGGCGCCATCTATTGTTATATCCTTTACAGCATACAAACAACTTCGAATATCGTTTTACAACGATAATTCGAACGAGAGATGTCGCCATTACTTTTTTTAGAAATTTAAATTGTTTATAGTGCTAATCTTTGCACTTAAGATTGAACATTAAAATATGTAGAAAAAGTGCGAAAAGATTGTCGCCGCTGTGGGAATCGAACCCACGTCTTCGGCATTCGCGGCCTGACGCTCTAGCCACTGAGCTAAACGGCTGATTACCACACCGACGAAAATCTTAACGCATTCTTCCACATTGTTTTCTTAGCATTTGAAGCAATGCTTGGCGCCATCTATTGTTTATATCCTTTACAGCATACAAACAACTTCGAATATCGTTTTACAACGATAATTCGAACGAGAGATGTCGCCATTGCTTTTTTTAGAAATTTAAATTGTTTATAGTGCTAATCTTTGCACTTAAGATTGAACATTAAAATATGTAGAAAAAGTGCGAAAAGATTGTCGCCGCTGTGGGAATCGAACCCACATATTTCTACATATTTTAATGTTCAATCTTAAGTGCAAAGATTAGCACTATAAACAATTTAAATTTCTAAAAAAAGCAATGGCGACATCTCTCGTTCGAATTATCGTTGTAAAACGATATTCGAAGTTGTTTGTATGCTTTGTAAGGATATAACAACGATAGATTCGAACGAGAGATGTCGCCAATTGCTTTTTTTTGAAATTTCAAATTGTTTATGCTACCGAAGACGTGGGTTCGATTCCCACACCGACGAAAATCTTTTTCACTTGTTTTTTAGCATTTGAAGCAATGCTTGGCGCCATCTATTCTTAAGTGCAAAGATACAAGCACTCGAAACAATTTCGAAAATTTCTAAAAAAAGCAATGGCGACATCTCTCGTTCGAATTATCGTTGTAAAACGATATTCGAAGTTGTTTTAATGTTCAATCTTAAGTGCAAAGATTAGCACTATAAACAATTTAAATTTCTAAAAAAGCAATGGCGACATCTCTCGTTCGAATATCGTTTTACAACGATAATTCGAAGTTGTTTGTATGCTGGAAAGGATATAACAATAGATGGCGCCAAGCATTGCTTCAAATGCTAAGAAAACAATGTGGAAGAATGCGTTAAGATTTTCGTCGGTGTGGTAATCAGCCGTTTAGCTCAGTGGCTAGAGCGTCAGGCCGCGAATGCCGAAGACGTGGGTTCGATTCCCACAGCGGCGACAATCTTTTCGCACTTTTTCTACATATTTTAATGTTCAATCTTAAGTGCAAAGATTAGCACTAAAACAATTTAAATTTCTAAATAAAAAAGCAATGGCGACATCTCTCGTTCGAATTATCGTTGTAAAACGATATTCGAAGTTGTTTGTATGCTGTAAAGGATATAACAATAGATGGCGCCAAGCATTGCTTCAAATGCTAAGAAAACAATGTGGAAGAATGCGTTAAGATTTTCGTCGGTGTGGTAATCAGCCGTTTAGCTCAGTGGCTAGAGCGTCAGGCCGCGAATGCCGAAGACGTGGGTTCGATTCCCACAGCGGCGACAATCTTTTCGCACTTTTTCTACATATTTTAATGTTCAATCTTAAGTGCAAAGATTAGCACTATAAACAATTTAAATTTCTAAAAAAAAGCAATGGCGACATCTCTCGTTCGAATTATCGTTGTAAAACGATATTCGAAGTTGTTTGTATGCTGTAAAGGATATAACAATAGATGGCGGCGCCAAGCATTGCTTCTTCAAATGCTAAGAAAACAATGTGGAAGAATGCGTTAAGATTTTCGTCGGTGTGGTAATCAGCCGTTTAGCTCAGTGGCTAGAGCGTCAGGCCGCGAATGCCCGAATGCCGAAGACGTGGGTTCGATTCCCACAGCGGCGACAATCTTTTCGCACTTTTTCTACATATTTTAATGTTCAATCTTAAGTGCAAAGATTAGCACTATAAACAATTTAAATTTCTCTAAAAAAAAGCAATGGCGACATCTCTCGTTCGAATTATCGTTGTAAAACGATATTCGAAGTTGTTTGTATGCTGTAAAGGATATAACAATAGATGGCGCCAAGCATTGCTTCAAATGCTAAGAAAACAATGTGGAAGAATGCGTTAAGATTTTCGTCGGTGTGGTAATCAGCCGTTTAGCTCAGTGGCTAGAGCGTCAGGCCGCGAATGCCGAAGACGTGGGTTCGATTCCCACAGCGGCGACAATCTTTTCGCACTTTTTCTACATATTTTAATGTTCAATCTTAAGTGCAAAGATTAGCACTATAAACAATTTAAATTTCTAAAAAAAGCAATGGCGACATCTCTCGTTCGAATTATCGTTGTAAAACGATATTCGAAGTTGTTTGTATGCTGTAAAGGATATAACAATAGATGGCGCCAAGCATTGCTTCAAATGCTAAGAAAACAATGTGGAAGAATGCGTTAAGATTTTCGTCGGTGTGGTAAAGCCGTTTAGCTCAGTGGCTAGAGCGTCAGGCCGCGATAATGTTTACTTTTCTACATATTTTAATGTTCAATCTTAAGTGCAAAGATTAGCACTATAAACAATTTAAATTTCTAAGATAATGTTTAAATAAAATCAGTCTACTAATTATTAAACCCTATTTTATTATAAATATGAGTAATTATAACGTTTCACTGAACACCTACATTTCCTTTAGCAGGTTCAAAATGATGGCAAACTTACCCTATTTAAGCCACCCAAATTTAGATAGTAGCAAATCAGAAATATGTTCCATGTCAACCACATAAAACTCCATATTCCATACTGAAAGATTGGAACAATTAATATAATTAAAGTATACAGTAAAAACATAACCCTTTATCTATAAATATTACAAATAATAATGTGTTACAAAAAGTAGAATCAACAAATTTTTTTTGGCATAGCCATTGACAAATATTGCTGTTGCAAGGTACATATAAATAAAATTTGCTTAAAGTTATATAGTTACACATTAATGTGCTAAGCCGATTAAAACAAACTGGAACAACTAGCAATGCTCTTTGCGCCTATCACAGATATGTTTCCTCCATTTTGCGTTATGGAATAATTATATGGAGTAATTTGGTCGATCTAATCAGAGCTTTCACGAGTGCAGAAAAAATGTTTGTAGATGTTGGTAGAAAGTGGCACAGAATACTTAGACAATTGTGTACCACTCTTTAAAAAACACCTTATTCTCTGTTACATTGTTTTTACATTTATGAAATTTATATATACAACATCCATTATACGCTCATAAACATTGGACCCTGTTTAAAGTAATTGAGAAATAGACAATTGAAATAGTTTTAAACAAATTACACATGCCTCACCATTGTACCACAATATACAGTAGAAATTGTTATTATTAAGTTAGTCAAATAGAATATTAAATCAAATTATATTTTCTTATAAATAAATGATATTATTCCACAAATAATTATCTAAAAGATAAAAATTTGTAAAACAGTTCCCAATATAATTATAATGAAGTGCATCAATGATTTTTCAAATCTTTCTTATGTACAAAAATCCTCACATTTAAACTACAAGGATCAACATTTGTAAAAAACAGAACTACTTACCGCTAATAGATATTTAGTTATATATTGAACTGCTCCGAATGATCCAAATATTATTAGTAAAATATTGACAAAGTTTGCTATTATAGGCAACCACATATAACCCAAAAAATCAAAAACTTGACGTTGTATAGTAATTATCTGAAAGAGAAGATTTAGTAAATCTATATATAAAAATAAAGTTTAAAAAAATATTTGATTTAAACAGCAACAAGTTTTTTTTATTAAGAAAAATATTACATACCAACTCTAATATACACACGATTAGTAGCACAGTTCGTAAGCCACAAACAGCCATTTCAGTGGTGTTATTTATCCTCTATTTCATTTCATTGCAAAATATTCGTTTACAGTTATAAACAGTTTCCATTGTAAAATCCGTGAGAAAAAACTATTACATCCTACAACGGAAGACGTAGACAATTAGACAGTTATACACTTCACTTATTAGACATATGCCACCAGCTACCTACCACAGAATGCAATGATAAAATCATAGATAATACATATATAGAGGGAAAAAAAAACGGATTAAGCGTTAGACCTCTTGAATGGTAGATTTGACTAATGGGATCACTTTAAAACCAAAAAGACACTTAAGGACTGATTAGAAAAATATTCATTTCAACTTAAACATTTTGAAGAAACGTAATCATTATGAATTTTATATAAAATACAAAAGTTATGTCAAATAACTAGACATGTTACTTCTTCAAGCGTTTTTCTTCAGGCTCCACAACCAGGGAAGCATCAAGTACTCCACCCCAGGCTTCTTCTGATCGGTATCTATGTAAGACTATGTACACAAACGTTGGATAATCACCGCACCCTTACCGAGTAGTTTACGAAACGATAGGGGTCATTATACAGTTATGTGCTCAAGAAGGAGCGCATTCTACGTGTTGTCATGGAACATGACACGGACTTTGTCAACAAGTACCTGACAGCGCAGGGCCTCACAATTCTAAACTTGCATCGTATGCATGCTATCTTTGCTCCAAAGATTTCTTGCTATCTATCTTCTCCTCGAATGTAGGTAAGAAATATTTCATCTGGACAGATAATATCGGTATGCTACATGTTCAACGTTTTTATGGAAACGCCTGCAAGGCGCCATTGCTCGGCACTGTACCACAATCCCAACATTGAATAATGTGCGCGCGTTATGCGGAAGGCCATGGGAGGAGGGAGATGCTTGCTGCTGTGAAATCTTGTATGAAATAATATTTTCTTTTGTCATAAATTAATTTTCGTAAAGCTGTAATTTTGAGCCTCACAATTTTAAAACAATATATAAAGTACTTATTATATATGTTATGTAAAGTTGTAAAGTTATATTTAACATGATTTTATTGCAATTTAGACTACAGAGGATATATTTTTACTTATTAGATAAAGATTTCGCTGTCGGTTGCGGTACTAGCTGAGGCAAATTTGAAGGGCGCTTAGATCGTTCATCGTGTTACTGTCCTGTTAGATGTTTTTACAACTACAAGAGATGGAAAATTTAGTGGTGTTTAGGGTTTGCAGAGTTGTGCAGAGCGAACGGCGGAAATAAAATAATAGTGTCGTGTATAAGAATTGTACTAAAAAGACATAATAGACATAATATAAACACTATGTTAAATTGTACTACTCCCGCTCCGATATAGCAACACTGAAATTACCATCATTACTTTCACTTTTGGAATATTCATTTCGTTTCGTTGTGCGGCTTGTGCGTAATAAGGATAGATCCCTTTATCATCGATTTTCCTTGACATTAGGTATTTGTGTAAGCCCAAAAGCTTTCATTGACTATATTTTATTAATCTTGAAATTGATTGCAACTTCTCGTAAGTACATATTCTATACTTCCTTTTAAAGTCTTATTAGGGATTAATACCGGTAACCTATTACCCTAATTGAATCCTTATTACAGATCGAAATGGCGACGGAAACATTAATTCCACTTGAATCAAACCCCGAAGTTATGAATAAATTCATACAAAAATTAGGTGTACCAAGTAAATGGAACCTTGTTGATGTGATGGGCTTAGAACCTGAAATGCTATCATGGGTTCCAAGACCCGTTCTTTCCGTTATGTTACTTTTTCCTGTTTCTGATGCATATGAAGAACATAAGAAAAAAGAAGAAAATGAAATTTTGTCTAAGGGACAAGAGGTTAGCAATAACATTTTTTACATGAAGCAAAACATCAGCAATGCTTGTGGTACTGTAGCTCTTGTCCACAGTATTGCTAACAATACTGATAAAATTCAGCTCACTGATGGCCTTTTGAAGAATTACTTGGAGGAAGCAAAAGGGCTAGATGCCTCTGCTCGTGGAAGACTGCTTGAAAAGTCAGAAGGCATCATTAATGCTCACAAAGAATTGGCCCAAGAAGGTCAGACTAATACACCTAGTGCTGAAGATCCAGTGAACCATCATTTCATTACTTTTGTACACAAGGATGGTGCTTTGTACGAGTTAGATGGACGTAAAGCTTTCCCTGTTAATCATGGGCCAACTACTCCTGATAGTCTTTTGGAAGATGCAGCAACTATTTGCAAGCAATTCATTGCTCGTGACCCATCTGAAGTTCGCTTCACAGTTGTAGCTTTGACTGAGGCTAACTGAATGTTTTTTAACTTTTTACTACAATGTCATGTTATGTCATATGACTGTAATGAAAATGTGTGCTTTGAGTAATATGCTTGAAATGTCTTTATGATTTTAAAGAAAAAATTTCCAAAGCTTTGCAAGCTTATGTGATATTCTTACACAAGTGATTATTAGAAATAAACTATTTATTTTCAAAATATACTGGGGTTTATTTACAAATAAAACTTAGCATGAAACACCCCAGAATAGAGAGCAGTGGCTTCTTTTTTGTCTGTGGGCAAGATCCTCTTTGGGTTTCTGAGCCAGTGAAATAAGTATGAAACAGATAGACATTCCACATAAATATCATTATTTGTTAAATTGTAAGTTCATATTTTGATGACTTGATGGCATAGTTACCAAGGCATTGTCTTTGGTGCGGGGTTGTAGGTTCGATTCCCACACAGATAAATCTTTTGGATATAGAAGTCCCTCCATATGAAATTTATGTATGTAAAACATCCTTACATCACAGGATAATGTTATCCTACAGTAAGGGCCATATTGAAAACAAAATTTATTTTAATTATGGCAAATATCCTTTTTTTGAAAAAAATACTTGAACCAAAAATAATTTTCATGTGCCTAAACTTGAATTAAGTAAGAATTATTGAAATAGGTTTCCTATGGTATTTAAAATCTTCGAAAAAGTTATAATTAATAACCATATTTTAAAAGTCTAGTATAGTATAGTAATATTTCAACATGTATACCTTTTGCCTTATATATTATTATAAAACAGGCACTTTTTCTATTTTTAAGAATAAATTAGGTACAATTAAATTAGATTTAGGCAGAGCATACTAATAGTACAGTACTATTTGCTTATACATAATCTGCATTTTGCTACTTCCCAAAAAGTATCTGTTTCTCAATTCCAATTCCAATTTTAGCCAAAATTAGTGTCTAGTGATTTTGAAAATGGCTTTTTTCATAATAATTCAATTCAATGACAGTTTAACAACATAACATTGTTTCTGTTTTTCTTTGTTTCATAACACGGCATAAGAAACCAAAACATTTTCCCTTACTAATAACATAAAAATTAATTAACTAATTTTACAATTGCAATAACTTATACAAAAATCACAATTATCTTCTGTTACAAAATTTACATTATACATTTATTTTAATTAATTGTTCATTTTTTAATAAAAATAAATTGCCAATGATTGTTCCTAAACGAAATTAAGAAACCTATACATTCATATTATGTATACATACATTTATAATGAAAACTGGCATGGTTGTAATAGCTAAGCTGCCATCAGTGTGATCCTAGCCAGCTTTGATCGGGGTAGAGCAAGATTTTAATTCAGCGCCCCTTAGTAAGTGCTCTCACTTGCATAAATTAGCTTTATGTTAAATATACAATAACCAATTTTTTCGCATTTAAATTAAATCAAGTAGCTGTAGTTATTATACCCCTGTTTCTTTAATAATACGAATGATGTGTATTAACTGTTTTTGCTTTCAGTCCCGAAACTATTAAAGCTTCATTTGAGGCAGAGCGAATGTTTCTACTGTTATGTAATTAAATTTAACTTTTCATCATCAGCATTAAATCTATCTATTATCTATGTAGGTATCTAGTAAACTAAAACTGCCCCATTTTCAAAAGGCACCATCAAAATTTTAATTTTTGTGAAAATTGTTTTTTTGATTATGATTTTAGCTCCCCTTCATGCCTGGCGCCTAGAGCAACAGCTCCGCTTGCTCTACCCTTATAATTACAAGCTCCAAACACATTCATCACTAGTTTAGTCACATGACTTTCATCTCTTCTCGTAATGTGCCATAATGTGCGTAAATACCATACCAAATTTCACTCCTTATTTCCTCAGTCAATGGTGCCACTTTCAAGCTAAGGGAAAGCTTGAAAGTAGAATAAGTATATACTTATTCCTGAACTTATCCCTTATAGTACACCACACCACACATCCATCTTAACATGCACTCTGCCACATACACTTTTCTTTCATTTGTTTCTTTTGCTGCCCAACATTCAGCCTTTATATTCATATGTACATCATGTACAATTCTATGTTTTATATTACCTGTTTGTTAAAATAAATGTGTAGATGGAGATGCACTTCTCTGAAAAAAATCCTTGGCGTTAACATTTCAAGCAATGTCCAGTTCCGCGTTTTTTTTAAAATGTGAAAAGTTGCCAAACGAGCAGACGGTTCACCTGATGTTAAGTGAATACCATCGCCCTTGGACATCTGCTTCACCCGGGGGTGTGCAGACGCGTTGACAACCTTTTGAAAATTGAGCTCCGGCTACCTCACTCACTAGACGAAACGCGAAAGTATTATACTTCCACTTGACGCCGGTTTTCTGTGAGGTTGTGGTACTTACCCGGACGAGGCTGCTGCGTGGCCCTACCACCATTAAAAATTCAATAGGGAGGTGAGACAATACTTCACGTCGGCTCAACGTAACCTCTATAACATAACCTACCTCTTATAGCAACATAACCTCTATAAGGCGCAAATTAGGCCCCACATGAAGTACTATTCTCATCTCTGAGCCGGAGCCCCACAGTACCAGCTATTTCCATTTGACCGCATTTAATATTTTCCCTTATTTCTTTTTTATTGACGATCAAGCGCTTTCCGATCGGCATGATCCTTTCACTCTACGTAGAGATGTTGGATTACTCTGCGTCTTCTACCGTATTTATAACGGGGATTGTTCCGAGGAATTGTTTTGATTGATCCCAGCAGCTAAATTTCATCATCAGGCATCGCACCAAAACCAGAAATTCCACCCACACCACCTCGATGTCCTGCGTACCACAACAGCGCGATTTTTAAAGCATTTTTTGCCTCGCACAACCACTATGTGAAACCAGCTGTCGCAGGTGGCATTTCTTAACCAATACGACCTGGGAACCTTCAAGAAGAGACCATATTCTTTCCTAATAGGCTGGCAACGCATTTTCAAGCCCCCCGATGATGCAGATGCTCAGGGGCGGCGGTGATCACTGGTGTGTCTAAGGTTAGTGCAAGATGGGTTCTAAGAACGCGGCGCTCCAAAAACGCAAGCGCGTTGAGTGCGCTCTCAAAGTCAAAATTCTTTATTCAACGTAGGCTTATTTTAAGTTCTTATTGAATGTCAAAAGCTACCACCGGTTCGACCTGCCAGAGAAGGACCGGCAAGAACCTCTGCAGCCTTATATATTTTTCTCTTTGAATTATTTAAGTATATACAATAAAGTTTTTAAGTATAAAATTGGCAGGAGCCGGTGGACTTGCAAGTGCAGAGCAAGAGTTATTTCCACACATCCTTGTGATCAATGCATTCCTCGATATTATAATAGGCCCTTTCCACTAAGGTAGCTTTTACAAAATGTTTGATAAGGTAGCTTAAAGTAGCTTTTACAAAATTATTTACACTTAATTGTTTGTGGATGTCACCTATTGCAATTTAATACTGTGCTCTGTGGAGAGAATAAAAAAGTCGTTTATCGTTAATATAGATAAAACTTGGTTTAACCACTATGAATCTGAGTCAAAGCAGGAGTCGCATTGTGTATGGGACAGGCCCAGTTTGTTATTATTATATGATTATGGCACTCCCCTTCAATAACTGTTATGAAAGAATGGTACATGATTTTGTGCAAATATTGATAAATGGTTAATAAAAGGCGCAAAATTAGTGACAAATTAAATGTAAGAACAGGGAAAAAGTGGAGACAGATATAATTAAATCAAAAAAGTGTGTAAGATAAGTTAAGTTTTTAAGATAATAGCTTTGCATTTCACGATTCGTATTAAAACGCATTAGATACTTCTATGTGTACCTTATTTCTCCACTCAGTGGCAGTACGTCTGTGCGATGATATTAGCTTATAACGTGTCTGTATATTAAATGTCATGTGGAATATCTATAATATCCTATTTACATACAAATGAATACATTGAAAAATAAATATTTTACTTATAATAATTAGTCCTCGATTTTAATGGTTGACAATAAACATAGGACTCTAGCCAGTAAGTTAACTGATAATTAGACCAAAGTCTTTGGAGTGGTCAGTAGTTTTGAAGTAGTGACTCTATACAAATAATTTATCTTTTGATAAAAATTAAAAACTTAATAATTATAAAATAAGTTCTGATTTAATCAAAACATTTTACCTTACAAAAAGGTTCATGTGCGATAGGTACTTTATGTAAAAAACGCGTGACAATTATTAAATGCGTCCATATAAGTAAATTGTTATTATTATGTATTATAAAGTCCATGACCACAGTTACATTTTTAGTATCACAAAATATTATACCTACTATTTTAAATTCTGTAGATCTACATGGAAAAATGATTAAGCATTAAGTCTTTCTATGTAATCGACTTACATGTTAAAACCAACTATACAGCGTGTCGTTACCATCGCCACAATAAATGAACACACGTCTAACGTTAAGTGCCAATAATCATAAAAAAATATTAACGTTAAACAAAATCCATAATTAAAAAAATATATTTTTCAAACAAACTAATTAAGTAAAAAAGAAACAAAATTTGTAAAATCCTATACAACTCGCGCCACAGTGTCGTATTACAAGCCTCTCCTTCTAACAGTATGTTTTGTCTCTTTTAAATTCATTCAACCCATTCATATGCTTTGTGACCTTTACAAATGAACTTTACGTTACGCTTTTATAGGTAAGGATGTTCTAAAATTCTTTGTTTTGGAAAATTTAATAACTCTGTAAATATTGCTGTTTAAAGAATTTAAATGTTTAATACAACTTTAAAAAGTTATCCCCTATATATGTGTTCATTTATTGTCGCGATGGTAACGACACGCTGTATATAACAATGCGCAATATGGTAAATTACTTCAATAAGCAATTGAGCAGTGTTCATTTAAAATAATTACAACAAAGTAACGAGGTTTTATTAAAATATATCCGGCGGAGGCGTTGACTCTTCTTCTATGGCGTTTATTGAAGGATTATCTGAAAGAGTATAAATAAATATTATTATTGCATGGACTGATCAACATAGCACTAGCGCCTGAATCGAAGTTTACGCACAGTGCCGATTGTGTATAAGACTCCACCTTAAATAGTTTTTTAAAACTTAAATGACTACTCGACCTCTACGAATTCTAAAAATATGTATGTTCATAAAACCAAAAAGCAACGTAATGATTCACGATAGTTCACAGAGGTGCAATGACAGCTAGGCGAAATGATTTAACCTTCAGCGCTAACGAGAAGGCATGTACCCTATCTGATACCGGTGAACTATATACTGCGTAATGACGAATGTCAGAAAAACAATTTTGCAAGCATTTAATACTAAATTAGAATACATGCCGTTCCTAAATTTCCGTTTATTACGAGTGTTTAAGGCGATAAGGATTGTTGTTGATGATAGTAAGCAAAATGTCAAATCAAAAATCAGCTTATTTGCATTGCACAATAAATCAAAACTTAGCTTCTCTAAATAACATTCTATGAGTTTCCCTATGAATAAAATAACCTTGACTTTGAACATAACACAGGAACTAAGCAAAGTAACATCATTGAAAATCTAGGAATTGTCATCGTCGACAAGCTTTGCATAAAAATTCGTTATAACGCATAGTTTCATAATACGAACATTGAAAAACCTCAACAGCCTTATACAGGTGTCCCGTAATGAATGGATATTTGCAAATATCATCAAAATCGTATTTCAAGCAACAAGCACTTTAGTTATATTAAAAGTAAAGTAAAAGCCTATATTTGTCTCACTCTTGGGCAAAAGCCTCCTCCTTAAGAGGATTTTTGAAAATTATGTATTTATAAATAGGAAAATAATCTAATTTTAAAGCTAATAACTAGACAGAGGGTCCGATGTTCAAGCCACTAACGGCTCGTAGATCGGACGAAATCATCTTTCTAGAAATAAATAAAAATTATATTAAAATTTTATATTAAGTTTTTATTGCACTAATCTCTGGCCTTAAGATGAAACTCTAAAATTCCTTCGTCGTTCGAAATCGGAATTCTCGCACGGGCTCGATTCCCGCATTAACTTTTCGTCCATTTTTCTAAAAAATTTAATCAATTTTATTTAAATTATTAAATAAATATGGTATTTATCTGAATCTCTGATCACAAAGTAGTGGGACCTTTTTTTTAATGTAACTTATGTTTATAATACCTTTAGTTAAAAACCATATTACTTAAATATTTTTAATATCTATTATTGCGTTAATAAACGAAACTATGTTTACGGATTTATCGCGTTTATTTTTAGTTTTTACGGTCACGGGACAGACTGAAGTGTTGGAGGACGTCTGAAGCTGTTCCCAAAAGGATGATTAAACTCTCTGAATTGATGAGAATGATAACATTATGATGTAGGTAGATCAACACAAAAATTAATAATGGGGAATCAAACTAAAAATAAACGCGATGAGTCCTTAAATATATTTTCATTCAGTAATGTGTAATCGGATGAATAAAAGAAGTTACTGCGATTACAAATTATATCATGTTTTATTTTTTTAAACCTATTATTAATATTATTTTAACTCACCACTAGTGATTCGAACATCTGGCGTCAAGTTCGGCAACACTAATGTGCTGAGGAGTCCCAATAAGCAGGCTCCGCCGCAAACCCAGGACAGCACGTCGCGATAGTAACCAGCGCTGGCACCGTCAGCACTGTGAGTTTCCAAAACTTTTTTTTAAATTTAGAATTTGAAAAATTTAAGGTATTGCTAATGTACAAGAAAAAAACTAACTATCCTGTAAACCCTAACTGGAGTAGAACCACGCAACATTCTTCGCTGTTGCACGAATGGGTAGGTCCGTACGGGGAAGTACCACGACCTCACAGAAGACGGGCGTGAAGTGGAAGTGCCATATTTATGCGTTTCTTCTGGTGAGTGAGATAACTGTAGCATACTTTTTTTAAAATTATTTAAACTAAAATTATTTGTTTATGCACAAAATTGTCAGAACTTATGTCAATTTGCTATTATATAAAAAAAATGTAAATGTTGTTAGCTTACTTTGTTTTTTAAGATTTTTTTTTATTATCCATTGCACTTTTTATTATCCTCTTATCTTTGTTAAAGCATGATGTGATTACCTCTAATTGTAAGAACAGTTACGTAGATTCTTAGCATTTTATTTTTAGATTGTAGATGCTGTATCTTATGTTGGTAATCCTATGAATAAATAAATAAATAAAAGGTAGGAAGCCATCTGCAACTCTTCGAGTGTTACAAATATCCATAGGCGGCAGTTACCACTCATATAAAAAAAAAACTCCAAACACTTTGTTGTCGGTGATTTACAAAGAGCCGCTAAAGCAAAATAAATATAAAACAAAATATTAAATGATTAATTATTACATTCATTCACTTACTACCACTGTATTATGGCAATGACTGCTCCACAAGAAAGTTTATCAGTGAAACTCATTAAACCATAAACGAATGCGGATGCTTCGGTTCTATCTCCTACCAAGTCAGCTGTGAGAGCCAGACTTGTCACGAGCATTTGAGATCCGCCAAAACCTAATGAAATATCAATACAAATTAAATTTCTTCCGACCTGCACACACTTGCATGATTTGATAACAAGTTTGGCTTAGGACATCACTACATAATATAAAAGGCGCGGTTTATTACAATTTATATTCGTTGAAGAAGCAGCAAGTCAATGTCATTACAAGAAATATTTTTTAACAAAATAAAAATCTCTTTTAACATTCCGAAGTCAACATTTTTAACTTTTTATGATAATATATTGGTAATTCAAACCACTCTTGTAAAAAGAGAACTCAATGAGTTGATTTCCCTCAAACAAGTGGTGTTGGAAGTATATCTTTGCTTGTCCTTCAATTTATAATATGAATTATTAATTTTAAATAAAATATTAAGAGCCCTGATAGCTCAGTGTCCGGGCGCTCGCCTTTAATTCAATATACTCTAGCAACCTGAGTTCGATCTCCGGTGCCGGCACCAATGAAGTTTTTAACTTTAAGTGCTGACTTGTCCGCGGTGAAGGAAAACATCGTGAGGAAACCTGCATATTTTTGAAATAATAACAAAAAAAAAATATTTTGAAGATATGTGAAGTCCGCCAATCCGCAGTGGGGCCGCGTGGTGGACTATGCCCTGATACCCTCTGTATAGAGGAGGCCTTTGCCGAGCCGTATAGGCTGTTACTTTACCTTACTTTTTTAACAAAATATTAATATAACAAAGCCAGACATAGTAGAATTCTGATCAAAACTAAACTATATTTATGTACCTCAGAGTCATAATTATCTACATGGTTGGTGGAATAATGAGCCCAAAATCTAATTATCAGTAGCCGTTTCAATATGATTTACGACGTAAATGTAAATATTGATTTTCTTAATGTTTAAACAAGTTATTAAGTAACAACTATCAAATGGTTACAAACCTAATAAGACTGCAACTACATATATGTAATATACTTTGTAGTTATAATCAGAATCCAGATAAATCCAAATGTAACCAGTAAGAGAGCATACTGTTCCTATAAAGTAATTTAGTTTTCGTGTAAGCGATCTTGGGGCTAATCTTTGTGTTCCTGCAGCAGATAAGCTTCCTAGGTACATTGCTAAAGGTATTACAGCAAGAGATCTAGCTGCTAAACCTAATGTTTTATGTAGATATAATGGAATAAACACCTGACTTATGTTTACTACAATTCTAGTGCTCATGTATACAGTTGCTACCTGAAAATAAACAAAAATCAGTTAAAACATGCTTATTTGATAGTTATAACTACAATGAATCATTTAATTGTTGTTATTAAATTTAATTGTTGCAAAGAAAAACAAACAGATATAAATAACTTTTTAATTAAATCTTTATCTCACCTGATACAGCAAAAATTTACGGAATATACTAAAATGCACTCTATTATTATCATTGGTATCAATTATTGGATGTGGCTGTCCAAATCTTCTTTCTTCAGAGACAAATACATGGAATATAACAGATGCTACAGTGCCTACACCCAAAACTATATACACAATATGACGAAACTTCCAAGCATCTGGAGGCCCTACTTGCTGTAATAAAAAATTATAGTCAAGATTTGATAAATAATAGTAGCAAATATATTTGGGAAGATAACCTAATCTTTTGAGTTTTTTTATGTATAAAAATTATTCTTATTTATTTTAAGCTTCAATATCAACATCAGTTCCCTGCAGATACGGGACAACTTAAGTCTCTTCTATAACACATGATTTAATTTACAGTCTTTACTTTGTTTTGTTTATAAGATTATAACAATAAACAAGAAAAATAGAGTAAATGGGGTATACTAACACCCAATCAGCCATTTTCTCAAATTAGTTTCTAATATGATTGTCTACCTAACATTTCAAACTTTTAGGCCACCATGTCAAATTCCAAGTTGTTTAAAATTTTTCTAATAAGTTTTGGATATTGTGTTATAAACACTCTTTTAAATAAGACTTTCTTAGTAACAAATATAAGCCCATAATGAAGAAATACATTACTAATTATACCTCTTTGTCACATTCGCCAGTAAAATGTAATATAACCCATGTGATAACATAAACAAAGAGATTTGAGAACACAGTGAAGCCAAATCTGAAAAAAACAAAATAAAATTATTTGAAATTATTTTTATTGCAAGACAAGCTATGGTAATTAGAACCTAGTTGATCATATGTTCTGTCAAAAAATGAATTTTGAAGGTTAATTGAATATTTTTGTGGCTAGCACAATTGTATTTATTGAATTCGAATTTTGAATTTTTTTTGAAAAAAATATGTGCCCTATATCGAGTTTCATTTAGGACTAGGTTTCTTATGGACCCCATACACGCTATATGGTCTACTGGAGAGGTCTACCTGCAGTACCTGCGCAGACGCAAGATCATTCACTAACATACACTGGGTATTCCAACAGATTTTTGCGCCAGGTCATACAGCGAAAGCACACAAAACTGGCTGGCGCGTGAAATTGATTTCACATTGTGAACATCCAACATGAACTCTGGCCTTCCTCCAATCCAGACTAAAATATGTTGGATTATAAAATATAAAACATTTGGGAGGAAAGGCCTGCTCAAAGCCTCTGTCACTTCCTGCACACTTGATCAAAGCAGCTGTGAATATTGATATGGGACTTGCTTGTTCTGCTATAGACGACTGGTAGCGCAGGTTGAAGGCTCTTTTTGAATAAGCTTGGTTAGTATAAAAATCTATGTTTTAATTAAGTTATAATATAGTAATAATTAATAAGCCTTTGGTTTATAAATTACTACTTTAGAAATAAATGCACGAAGTATTTCACAATTAACATGCAACCTAACTTATTACCCGACTAGGTAGTATTTGGGATGATTAGTCAAATAAATTATATACCTAATAGCTGTGAGGTGTGTTCGTATGTGAGGATCTTCTGACAGCTCTGGTATTAGACTTAAATGAGAAATCTGAACAGCAGCCCATCCAATTTGAAAAATAATTATAAACGAAGCAAAATAATACATTTGCGCCCATTTATGGGTCATTGAACATCCAATACAATCCATAAAAATAAATGGGAATGAAAACAGCACACATAGAGTACCTGTAAGAATAACTATTCTAATAAATATTAAATCTACAATAACATTTATAAAAGTAATTGTTAAATAAATTAAATCTACTCTTACCAAATAAATGCCACAATTTTCTTTTCCCATAGTGAGCGCTTATGAAATTATCAGTATGATCAGAATGATATCCCACAAAAGGTGTTGCTAATGCATCTGCTATTTGCCCTATTAGCATTAAATTTCCTGCTTGGGTAGAACTAAATTCAAGTACTAAGTGAAAAAATACCAAAAAATAGGTAAACCATAAACTTGCACAAACATCATTCAATACATGACCTATTCCATATCCAAGTTGAAGACGCAAAGTATTTGATGGGTTAATAAATTCATTATCCATTATAATTTACAATATAAATAGATTAAGTTACAATAACTAAAATGTTGTAATTTTGTCTTTCTTACAGGAGATAACAATAATAGTTTGAAAGTTTAACAGTCTACATTCACATATCTACCCTAATTTTCTAAATATTTTTTTGTACAATAAAAAGCAAATACTGTTCAATTAATATTGATAACATTTTATATCCAATGTATTTTTATGCAATAAAACAGTTAAGATGGATTCCAGGTGTGTATAAAATTATCGATACACAATTGTTGTTTTTTGATTGCAAGAATGAAATATGTACATAATTCCAATTCAAATTTTAGCATAATCGCTCCACTACATACAATTTGATGATCCTGCCAATGTCAAGGTAGGTTATTTGTTATGATGACCATGATTTACCAGTAAACTTTACTTCTTAACAGTGAGTATTCTTAACATAAATCTTCTTGTTGGTACCTGTACAAAGGACAAAAAAGATATTAAATGTATATAAAAATAATTTAAAAACTACGTAAGGGTTTTCTAAAATTCTTTGTTCTGGAAAATTTAATAACTAGGTAAATATTGATGTTTAAACAATGTAAATTATTAATTTTTATTATTAATTAATTTAATACAATTTAAAAAGTTATCCTCTATATGTGTGTTTATTTATAGTCGCGATGGTAAAGACACGATGTATATAAATGAATATAACGATAACAATAATACTCACCTCTACAACAAGGACCACAACCACATAACCACAAAGCAGAAAAATTTAGGTATTCAACGCTAAACAGAGCAAAATTTCTTAGAAAACCCACTCAACACCGCTGGTCACACTCAGCACTGGCAACAAAAATGGGAAGATGATAATCATGACTTTCTCGTGTCTGTTTTTACGTGGATAATTATTATGAATCATAATAACATATTTACAGTTTGACAGTTTGACACTGACAAGATGATAATAAACTGAACAAATATTTCATTTTATTGTTTAACGGCTTTGTAGTCGTATCCTTTAAGCCGCTACCTACCTATTGTGCCAATGTTGAAACTGAAGCGTCAGAACGAGTGCCAACTGAAGTTTCTGAAAACTTTTCCACGATATAAATTTGCCAAAGGGCCCTCTCAACTTGTAAATGTCGAAAAACAAAAATTTTTGGGTGCACTGCATGTGCAAACACGTCAGGGTCATCAGTATGGGAGTCGGCAGGAGAGAATATTTAAGATGCAGTACAAAGTTGAGTTGAGAAAACCATAATCGTAGTTATATTCTCTTTGCATAATCTTTTATTTGTCATTCGTTGCTATAGTTATTTGTCAATATTAGAGTAATGCTAAACTACATGAGAATAAGGGTACAGAAGATAAAAGCGGTGCTACACTATGGCAAATAAGTCGCCACATCACCCAAACCGTAGGGGGGTTTGGGAGCCGGCAGGAGGGAATATTTAAGATGCTGTACAAAGAACAAGCCGAGTTGCGAAAACCATAATCTTTTATTTGTCTCTCGTTGCTATAGTTATTCAAAGAGAATGTAATCACTACGTTTAAGAGACGGGACTACTATACTAGCTAAAAATATCAGTTTACGCGGCACTCCAATACCAACCATACCACAAAGATGTCAAACAACAGCAAAGAGAATGTAATTACTACGTTTAGTTGTTATTGTAGTTATTTGTCAATATTAGGGTAATATTATACTACATGAGAATAAGGGTACAGAAGATAAAAGCGGTGCCATGGCAAATGAGTCGCCACAAATTCTTTAAGAACTACACTTTGCAGAAAACTACTTTCTGGCGTGAGAGCTTACATCGCGGGATAAACGGCGGCGTATTCTTCTTGACATCTAGTGTCGAGTTACACGCGAAAAGAGTGCTCAAAATTTGAGCTTTCTCACTATTGAGCAATTCACCTGAAAAACCTGGCGAAAGAACAAGAGAAGTGCAGAAGTCCTTGAAAGAAGGTAATGTGCTCGTATACGGAAAAAATAATAGATTAAATCCTAAATTATTTCTTTTTCAATCCATCCAAAGGTTGCCTGGAAGAAATTACTCTTAGTAATAAGGCCGCCCATTGTACCCATTACTTCTAAATTAAGTTTTAATTTTTGTTTGTTTTATTTTTGGTGTGCAATAAAGTATATTCATTCATTCATTCATTCATTCATAAATCACAGTTGCATTCTCTTTTCCACCGAAACGAAATAGATATCTAGCAAAGTAACATGTGTGACACAGAAATATATATTTATTTTTTGTCGTTGTACCGGCTTCCAAGCTATTTTGACGTTTCGGTGTCAAATATTACGTAATTTATACGTTGATAAATATATTCGCATAGTGCATCCCTAGTGTCCAGGCGAGATTCTATGTGAAAGACGTTTGATTTGACTTTGACGTTTACGTTACGATCCGACATTCATTAATTAATTTTGACAATTCATTCATAATTCAATTAATGCATGCATTTGCATATTGCATGTATTACGATTACGAGTAGACTATCAGCGCAGTGAAACCGAAAAGTATTTGATTGTTTTCTTGGCTCTTCCATATATCTTTAACATCATATTTATACAATATTCTATCTATTATTGCGTGGATCTGAACGACGACCTTTTATGCAATTTAATATTAACATAATCTTGTACTACGATATTAATAATCAAAATCAATGTGGTTTTTAATGATTTGTTTATTATTGTTCGCTGCACCTTTCGGTGTCAATGCTGACGTTTTTAAAGAAGAAATATATATGAAACCGTTGCCACCAACACATCTCTATGTGTATTTCCAATTTATTACTCATAGCGAAGAAAAATCTTGTAAGAAAATATTTCAATATATTTGACACAACTTTGGGACAAGTTATCGAAATGTTTATATTTTTCCAGTTGCGCATTCTCACTTAGCCCCACGGTCTCTCAGAGAAGTTATGTCACGATTTGAGGTGGATGAACTGCATCTAACTTTAACTGAGGGTCAATGGAAGCATAATAAATGGGGTTATCCAATTTTGGATGCTGCTCCTGGCGCTGAACTCTATGCTTGGTTTTCACCACATGTTTTAGACGTCGATATGCAGTGGCGAAAGTTAAGCGCTACTTTGTCAGGGCTGTTTTGTGCCTCACTTAATTTTATTGATACTTTTAATACCATAGTACCTCAAATGGCCATGTGGCCAATGGGTGTGGTGAGTAACAATAAAAATATTAGTTCTCAGCTGAGATATGCAACGTTACCAAGAGAAATTGTATGCACGGAAAATCTCACCCCTTGGAAAAAATTGTTACCTTGTGAATCAAGCCATGGATTTTCATCGCTCCTAAATTCCAGAATGATCCATAATACTAATTATCACTCCATAGGTGTACATGCAAGAAAAATATGCAAAACTGAAAAATGCTCTGAAATAAATTTGGAAATAAAGCAAACTGTGGCATTAGTTTATGACTATAAAATTATAGATGATATGGATTGGTCATTTAGGAAGCTATTTGGTCAAGGTTTACCAGGAGCCTGTCCTATGTCATCATCTAGTAAAATATATGTGGATCTTTCTTCAAATTACTCTTATCCATTCAAGTTAAATCCACCACCAAATAATGAAATATTTTCACAAAGAGGTGGAAGTGAAACAATGCTAGCTATATATGATATTAAATTAAATAATCACATGATAAATATTGGAGCTAAGTATGAGAAAAAAGATAAAGTTTTAGTTACAATTCCACCACCTCTAAGCTTCACACGCTATGTCTTAGGGTATGGTAAAGAATTCGGAGGAATAGTTACTGAAATAAAAAATAACTACTGGGCTCCCATAGATATTGTTCTATTAGAAAATGCACCATGGTGGTTGCCAATACAGCTAAGTACCCTTAGAGTTAATGGTGAAGCACAAAGTGAACTGGTTAAAATACAATATTACTCACCTGGTAAGAGTCGCCAAAAACCATATCACTTAGAGCTTCTAATAAGATTACCTCCAAAATCAACTACTACAGTAACAATTGATTTTGAATTTGTATTTTTAAAATGGCAAGAATATCCACCTGATGCCAACCATGGATTTTACATAGGATCTGCTTTGATTTCGGCAAATTTACCAACAGCAAGAAATTATACCAGCTTACCTATTACTGGAAGTACTATGGATTCAATAATTAATGCATCAAAACCATGTAAGTACAACTGTATACATGAAAGAAAATTTTGTGCAATATTCTACATTCTGCTTTTATTTTTATTTTTTGGTTTTAGGGTATCCAGCTGTATTCAGGACTAATGGGGCAATGGTTTCATTACCAACGCCTGACTTCAGTATGCCATATAATGTGATATGTCTCGCATGTACAGTTGTAGCTTTGGCATTTGGGCCTTTGCACAACATTTGCACTAAAGAACTTATTCTAAAACCTGTAGGAAACCCTGTATCACTGAAACAAAAATTGATGAATTTATTTAAAAGAAAGAAGGATTAGACATCTTTCTATACATACCAAATATTTATTAAATAAACATGTAAGTTCTTAAGTATTATGTTTTCACTTTATTCTTACAAATATCCAATGCTCATAATATTGAAAATGGTTTTAATTTAGTTTGTGAGGAAACCTGCATATTTTTTAAATAATAAAAAAAATCCATTTGTACACTTAGTCCGAAGTGTCATATTCTAAGACCAATTTCAGGGTCGAAACTTACCGATGCCAGCCACTGAGTAACGGTCCCTGTACTGATTTGTACCTAGGTCCTGACCCAGGTACAAATCAAGTCAATTATTTCAGCTACTACTGAATGGATTTTAATGAAACTTTACAATAACATAGCTTTTACATCAGAAAAAAATATAGGCTATAATTTTTATATTTTTATGTATACCTGTCTTTCTGTCTGAATGTCATGCCTTCACCCTATTCTACGCAGACGTAGTCTCGGGCAGCAGCTAGTATTACATAAGAATGTATGTAGTGTATATTTATACGTCCAAGAATTTGGCCGACACAAAAGACTGCCATAACATAAACATGCTACATATAAATAATATTGAAAGATCACATCACATTTTCTTCAATCCTGTCATGTATTGTGGTCTTATATAATTTCGCTGTGCTGTACAATTAAATTAATTTACCGAATATATTTATACGTGCTTCACATTATTTTTAGGATTACATTATTACATAAGAAATTTAAAATTATGAACATACCCATACTGCAGTTAATAGTTCAAAAAAGATTAACCGTGATCACTTTTGGACCTGGCTGCTGGCTATAGATTTCTTTTGACCTATTACATAATGGGAAACCATATCAGCCAGCAGTAGCTGGATAATCTCCAATTTTGTTGTCCTCTTTATCTCTCGCCCTCAGAATTCCGTGGTATTTTCTACCATAGTATATAATTACACAACCTAAACTTGGTCGTTCTTTATATATATTTTTTGCTTTTTTTATTTCTTGGAAATGCAGGGCAAATGAAACGCTTTCGTACACTTCAGCTACCCTACCAGCGCTGGCCGCTTCAGCAGCCCCTCCTCGGGGGTGCAACTCCCCTTTCCTGCTGGTAGGTAAGGCAAGCTGCAACATTCAGTGGGCCTTCCTACTTCTATCCCTTTTGCACGGCTGACGAACTCCCCCGAGTTCGGTGACCAGATGCATTGGAGGCAGGCGAGCCATTGCTGAGAAGCAGCTAGCCTTCTAGGCCCCAGCGGTGGACCTGGTCTGTGGCTCTGCTGCTCGTCACGTTTCGGCCGTGGAGGGTAGGGAAAAGTGCGTTTCACAATACCGACACTCCTCTCCCACCGACAGATAGCGGGACGACTTTGTTTATATATTATCTAGTGATGCACAGCAAAGAGACGTTTACATTTCAAGTGACATTTTACCACAGTTACTCACTTGTTTGGCCCTCCCGGAACCCCTCCACTAACACTTAAACTTTATGGTATGGTATTAAAGTTCAATTTGACTTTTAAGTATTATTACGAATCTTTTGTACGGGAATATAGAAAAGTGTTGTTAGACTTTTTCAGGCAATTCTTTAAAATTTTTCTCCCCATAAGAACCATCTTCCTACTTCAAGGAATATTATAAAAAAAGAATTGACGACTCGAAAGACTTGATGACTCCGTGGCTTAGTTGCCAAGGTATTGGCTTCGGC